GGGGAAACTGTTTTTTTAGACCAAATAGGTTTGGATATTGTCCCTTTAGGCTAAATTATATTTTGTACCAATTTTGACTTTAATGCCCTTTATGTATTTTCGGAATTATTAAAAAAATAGATTTATGAAGCAAATTTTTTTTAAAAAATAGTACATAATGATGAAATCTCTATATCTATATAGTGATATTTTTTTCTTGTTTTAAAAATATGTAAATAATAATTTCATATATCTATTCTACCGAAATTAGAATATGTATTCTACGGATTGGAATACGGAATCTACTTTTTTCACTATTTCTACGAATTGCAGAATATGTTTTCTACGGAGATAACATGAATCTAAAATAGTTTGGAATACACATTCCACGCTTATCATATAGTTATAAAAAGAGTAGAAGTTGAAATCTAAATTCGTACTTAAATCTAAGACAAGTAGAAGTCAGAATCTAAATTCGCACAACGTTCTAATACACGTAGAAACTGATTTCATATCTTTTTACACAGTTCTACGTTTAGTAGAATCTGAATTCTACGGATAAATATTATTAGATCCGAAAATATAGCAAGAATATCTTAGAGAATATTCTGTTACCATATTTAAAACTCCATTTTTTTTTAAAAAAAAGGAAAATTCGATTTTTTTTTTTAAAAAAAGGAAAATTCGATTTTTTTAAAAAAAGAGGAAAATTCGATTTAAAAAAAAGGAAAATTCAAAAGCAAAAACTTTATTAAAAGGAAATTCGATTTAAAAAAAGAGAGGAAAATTCGATTTTTTTGCAAATATTCAGTTTCCATATTTATAAAATCGATTTTNTTTAAAAAAAAGGAAAATTCGATTTTTTTTTTTAAAAAAAGGAAAATTCGATTTTTTTAAAAAAAGAGGAAAATTCGATTTAAAAAAAAGGAAAATTCAAAAGCAAAAACTTTATTAAAAGGAAATTCGATTTAAAAAAAGAGAGGAAAATTCGATTTTTTTGCAAATATTCAGTTTCCATATTTATAAAATCGATTTTTAAAAAATAATAAAAGAAAAAACCGTTTTCAAATATGGGTTTTTTATTTTTTATTTATATTCAATTATAATTTTTTTATTAAATCGATAATATCTTATTTTATTTTTTTAAGTTTTAATTTTTTTTTTAATTTCGAATATACTTTTTGATCAAATCGAAAATATATTGTTTTTTTTTGTTTTTTTTATTTTTTTTTAATTTCTAATACAATTTTTAATTAAAAATAATAATTTTATTATTATTTTCTAATTATAATTACAAATTATTAAATTGTTCTAAGGGTATTATTGCCATTTAGGAAAAAATTAACTTAATGGGACAATAACTAAATGGGATTAGATTAAAGGGACAACTTCCTAATGGTTTTGGTCTAAAAAAACTATTTTCTCAAAATAATTTTAAGACACACACACTTTTTTTGTAGAGGTGATGAAAGCATCAACAAGGCGGAGCCATGCTTGACGCCAAAGACAATCAAAGAACATAAGGACAAGAATACCTATCGACGCAGTCACATAAGTTGATGCACTAGTCCAATAGAAGACCATCATGTCAATATCAGCTTCATCATCTTCTTCTTCTCCTCTTTTATCAACTTCTTCTTCTCCTCTTTTATCAACTTCCTCTGTTCTCTTCTTAGCTTCTTGACAACTTCTCTTGGTTGGTAATCCACAAAGAAGAGGATTGCTTAAGTAGCTCATATCGTTGAATGTGTCAAATTGCCTCCCTTGGGGAATGATGCCTGATAAATTGTTGTAGGAGACGTTGAAGACAGCAAGAGAAGTGAGGTTTGTTAACTGACGAGGGATGTTACCATGTAACATGTTATAAGAAAGATCAAGACTCTCAATATCCTTCAGTTTTGAGAAGCTATCCGGTATAGAACTCGACAAAAAGTTCCGAGATAGATTCATGGCTCGTAGTTTCGAGAGTTCTCCAAGCTCTTCCGGGATAACACCACTTAACACATTGCTAGACAGATCCAATCCATACATAAAATCAAGTGTTCCTCTGCTGATCTTAGATTCTTCAGTGTATGAATCATACCTTTGCTTTGCTGCAAACTGGATTTCAAAACTCATGTACGTTTCATAGTCTAACTTGAACTCATCAACCAAAAATGATGATCTGTAAAGTTCCCAATGAAGGCTCGGTACAAAGCCATATGCCTCAGTGGCTCCATTCCTCACCTCCTCATACTCTCCTGATCCAAATGATAAATTATGGAGGCAAGAAGGTATGACTCCACTAAGCTTGTTGTTTGAAATATCTAAAACTCCAATGTTTTTCAGACCACACAGCTCCCTTGGGATAGCTCCTGTTAAGTTATTCCCCTTCAACAAAAAGATTCTCATGTCCATGGTGTTGACAAACTGTGGGATACTCCCAGAGAGTTTATTATTCCTCAAATCAAGTATCTCAGCATTTTCCAACAATGTTCTTGGTATCTCCCCTGTGAAGCTGTTGTTATGTAAGAACAACTTTATCCCGTATATAGAACTATCATATGATGGCAAGGCTCCGGATAATAAGTTCCCAGAGAGGTCAAGAAAGTTGAGATGTTGATTAGCCAGGAGAGAAGAGGGTAACGTACCTTCTAAGAGGTTGTTTGATAACAATAACATAAACATATCAGATGAGTTTGGTATCAAACTTGGAACAGAACCGCTGAGAAGATTGTTTGATATGTCAAGTACTGACAAGTTAACCAAGGTAAGGAAACCTTCACCGATCTCCCCAGTGAATAAGTTGTTATCCATCCTCAACACTACCAATGATGTTAGGTTCGTCTGTCTTGGAAGAACATGACCAGTAAATTTGTTGTGAGACAGGTGCAGGATTTGTAATGAATAACAACCTGTGAATAAGCTTCTAGGTATCTCTCCAGAGAGATTGTTATGAGACAGGTCCAGGAATGATATATTCTTCATCTCACCAATAGATGATGGAAACTTCCCTTGGAAACCATTATGAGAGCCATTCATATGTATCAGATTTGAAAGCACATGTCCAAAACCATCAGGGAGCACTACTCCGTTGATATTATTTGCTGAAAAATCCAAGAACTGCAACTTATGGACTATTGTAGGAATCTGGAAGACAGTGAATGAGTTGTTCTGCAGCTGTAGAACTTCAAGTTCTGAATTATTAGCCAAGAGCCAGGTAGGAATGGTTCCGGGTATTCTGTTGCTGGATAGATCAAGTAGAAGCAACTTCTTCTGGTACATGAGAAAGTTTGGGATCTTCTTCAAGCCGCAGGACGGTAGAGAAGCAATACTTAGTTGAAACTTTGGCAGCCAGGTACTTTCTGTAACTACTTGGACCTTATCAGATGTTGATGAAAGTTTGAGCACCTTGAGCTTTGTGAGGTTGGCAAGGAAGCTGAGGGAGAACAAGCCTCTGAAGTTGTTATCTGATAATGACAGATATTCGAGGGACTCAAGGCTACTGAAACTAGATGGTATAGTTCCACTTAATTGGTTTAGTGAAAGGTCAAGAACCTGTAGCTTGTTCAAGCTACCAAGACACAGAGGAAGCCGGCCGGCAAGATAATTTCCGCGGAGGTAGAGCTCCTGCAGATTCTTCTTTTTTTTTTTTTTGAAACACATCATAACTTCTATTGATAAAGTTAGTTGGGAGCAATGAAGTCATCACCCACAACCAATGGTTCAGATACAATTAATGCATCCTTGGCCAAGCCATCAGCTACAACATTTCTTTCCCTGGGAATCCAAGAAAAATCAACAAACTCGAAGGTAGAAACAAAAGAGATAATATCTGCCACCACACTATAGAGTTCAGTAGTGGTTTCATCAGATTTTACAGCCTTGATTAACTGAGCAGAGTCAGCTTCAAAGAGCACCGACTTGAAGCCCAAGCTTACGCCGGTTTTGACAGCCTCCCGTAGGGCCAGTCCTTCTGCCGCTAGGGGCGAGTTGACATACTGGGCAGTTGCCTTAAAAGACCGGTTTCCGGACGTCGAGAGAACAACCCATCCTAGTCCCACATCATTTGAAACAGAGCTCCTGCAGATTCTTCATTCCACAAAAAACTGCAGAAACATAGTTCATAAATGTTATGGAAAATCTTGAAAGTGAAAGCAAACACAGGAAACTTTTATCAGTTAAGGTCCATAGAGTTCTTTACTTTCAAGTTAGTCATATACTTCAGTTCGAAAACAAAGTACATAAAAGCAAAGGAAAAGAGATTTAAGAAGATAACTTGCCTTGCAATTCCATTGAGCTAGAAAAGTAGTTAGCACTTAGATCCAAAGCTTTGAGATTTTCCAGGTGAGTAAACTCTGCCACGGGACAAAGAGACATAAAGGAAGACACATGTTGTTATTATGGATAGAATGATCTCCAAGATGGCATAAACCAATGCAACAATTTCGCACAAGTTAAATCTGTTTAAGGTCTACCCTTAAGACCAAAAAACAGACGTAGGTTCTACCTGGCATGGAGTTGTTATATCCATTTCCACTCAGATCCAGCAGTTCCAAGTTTGACAAGTTTCTTAGTTCTGAAAGTGAGTCTAGGAGAATAAATTAAAATGCAGTCAGAACATAGAAAATAAAAGAGGCTCCAATACAAAAAGAAAACGATCTAACCAAAGATACATCAGCAATAAGTAGACCTTGTTACAAATCGAGAAACACACCTTTAACAGGAAAAGGGCCATCCATCTTGTTGAACCCAAGAAACAGAGTTGTAAGTGAAGTAGCAGCGTTAAGAAATGGGAAGATGCTGTTGTTGAATTGATTTGAAGAGAGATCCAGACTCTCCAGGTTTCTTAATCTACTTAAGCTTTTATAACCTGCAAGCGATAATCTTGTTAACAAAGTATCAAACAAAAAAGATAGTCCACCCTAATCACTTCAATAGGTTCAATGACAACTTCAAATCTACTCTGCATGGAAGTGGAATACAATAACCTATTGATGCAGGGAAAGTTCCATAGTGTTAAGACATAGACATATACCTTCCATATCATCAAACAAGGCACTGAAAGCGCACCCGGAAAAGTCTAGACTTCGAACCTCGTCAAAGGGATGCAGCAAAGAAAGATTAAAGAAAGAATTCTCTTTGAGATACAAATCACCAAAAGCAATCTTGGTCACACGAGGGCTTGTACGACTGCACTTGACGCCCTCCCAGTGGCAGCAATGGCTCTTTGTGTCATTAGTCCAAGTAGGGAGAACATAGTCGGCTTGTCCTTCTTCAGAAATGGAGATAAGGTATTGCTTGAGCTCCATTAGAGCGTTCCTTTCTTTCTGAATACAGCCTTTGTATCCGTGTAGCTGCCCCAACAGTACCATCACCCATATCAAGTATTGACCCAAGAACACATTTCCTTCCATTACAAATATGATACAAAAGAAGGCAAATGAAAGAAACTCAGAAGCGTGAGTTCAATACAAATACCTCAGCATCTATAAATGTATACAGCTTTTCATATCTCAAACGAGAAATATTGAAAAAGCCAAGGTTGTTGAAAATTAACTTGTATGATCAAAAAGCCATGTGACAAGCGAAAGAAACTCAAAAGCCATGTGACATGTGTAGCCTGAGAGGGATCAACTATATTTTCTTTTTGTCATGCAAAGTCAATGTCTCTGTAAGAAAATACTAGTAATCCATATGATATGTGTGCCGTTGACAGCATCTTGTACTTGGGTCAAGCTTATGATATTGTTGTGTGGCGTTGTTAGCATCTGTTGAGTAGCAACTATAAAGAAGGTTCATGAGTTGACCTTCAGTATAGGATTAGGAACACAAACTATGAAGGTAAGTGTAACAAAAGATCTAACTAACCTTCAAACCGAGTTGCTGATGTGGCTTTATCTGCCACGTAAGATACAAGTGATGTTACCGCCAAAACCGTAAACGCTGTCGTTTCGCATCATTTTTTCCTTGGCTAGGTAACAAAACGGGAATATTCGTATGTATGTATGAAGTCTGAAGAATGATAGATCCACCAAAGCAGGTCAACGGACTGACTTTTGGATAAGATTTAAGAATAGTGAATATATCCCAATTAAACGGACAGGGTGTCACAAGAGACAGAAGAAGAGAGTAAAAACCAGCATTCTGATTGATCTAAGAAATCGTCATGATTCTAATACTCCATGAGAGCGTACCAGGTATTTTATAATATATTATGTTTCATGCAACTGCAAGTTCTTTGTATTCAAATATTATATTATACTTACTGAACAAATCAACAAACCAGCTTTAAGATATATGTTTGACATTACAAAAGGCAGGGACAGTAGATAGGGTTTTTTTTTTTTTTTTTTTGAAACACAGTACATAGGTTATGTGAAACAAACCAGGAGGTTACTTCTGAGAAGAAGAGTTTTACAACAAAGGGACTTCCGTGTAGGAAGAAGAAGATGAGGGCAGAGGTATGGATTCGGCACCCGCAAACAACAACAAATTCTTTGCCTTGTGGATGAAAGCGTCAACGATGCTGAACCAAAATCTTCTCCAAGGAGAGTCAAAAGAGAGAGATGTGAATATTCCAAGGAGTATAGTCACATAAGCTGCAGCTACACTCCAGTAGAATGAAACCATGTCGATTTTGCTCTCATCGTCCTCTATACCATTTTCTGGTTCTTGATAGTGACTGTTGTCGCAGCTTGTGTTGATTGATTGTCCGCAAAGAAGAGGATTACCTAAGTAGCTTTTTGCATCAAAGGTATTGAACTGTTTTCCTTGTGGAATGACTCCAGATAAGTTGTTGAAGGAGACGTTGAAAACAGCTAAGTTGCACAGCTCCGTGAGTTGTGATGGGATCCGGCCTTGTAACCTGTTGAAGGAGAGATCAAGGCTTTCCACATTCTTCAGACCTGAAAAGCTTTTTGGTATCAACCCTGACAAGCTATTGTGAGAAAGATTAAGAGATTGTATCTCCAAAAGACCTCCAAGATCTGTAGGGATATCACCACTCAACTCATTTTTGGAGAGATCCATTCCAAACAACAATTTGAGATTCTCACCAAGGTAAGTATCGTAACGGTGCTTTGTCGCGAATTCAATTTTAATCCGGGTGATTGTCTTGTATATCAATATAAATGGTTCCACCATGATAAGAGATTCAAAATATATACGGAAACCCTCTACACGGAAGTCTCTCTGCGGAGTAAAACCAGTGAACTTAATATCAATGGCTACAATACTTCCGTAATCCTGATCAAATACTGAATCCTCTTTCCCAAAAGAAAATGATGTATTGCTGAAGCATGAAGGTATGGACCCATTCAGTCTGTTGTCGGCAAGATCAAGAAGTTTTATGTTTCTTAGACCACACAACCGGTGAGGAATGCTACCTGATAAATCATTCCCTCGAAGAAGAAGAGTGTGTGTGTCTTGGGTGTTACTGAACTCCGGAATATTCCCAGACAATCTATTATTTCTCAGATCAAGAATAGTGACGTTAATCAACAATGTGTCCGGAATAGCCCCGGACAAATTATTATCTTGAAGGAGTAATAATACCCGTCTTGTCGAACTGACCTTTGGAGGTATGCCCCCAGATAAAATGTTTGCGGAAAGGTCCAGCAGCTCAAGATCAGTTAAGTTGAACAAAGAAATAGGTATTTCACCTTCCAATGAGTTGTTTGAAAGTAGTAGTGCCTGCAAGTTTTGAAACTCACCAATCCAGCTTGGAATAACACCTGTGAGATTGTTGTTTGAAATGTCTAGCAGTTCCAAGAATTCCATGCTCCGCAAACCTTGACCAATCTTTCCTGTAAAAAGATTGTTATCCATGGACAGCTCTTTTATTCCAGGAAAGTTGACTGTTTCCGAAGAAAACGCCTCTCCACTTAGTTTGTTATGTGACAGTGTCAAGAATGCCATTGAATAACAACCCGTAAGAAAACTTCTTGGCAGTGTCCCATGGAAGCTGTTATGAGATAAATCCAGATATAATATATCTTCCATGTTACCAAGAGAAGATGGTAAAAATCCATGAAAACCGTTATTAGCTAGTTTCATATAATGTAAATGAGGAAGTATCCACCCAATATTCTCAGGAAGCATATGATTGAAGTCATTGGCTGAAGCATCCAAGAAATGCAGATTATGAGCAGAATCTTGAAGCTGAAAACTTGTAAACGAATTATTTTGTAGAAACAAAACTTCGAGTTTTGAATTGTTGACCAATAGCCAATGAGGAAAATATCCTGACATTTTATTGTTAGAGAGATCAATGCGACTCAAATCCTTTTGGTATAGGAGAAAACAAGGAACCTTCACCAAGTTGCAAGATGCTAGTTCAATAACACTCAGCTGAAATTTTGGCTTCCAGTTACTTTTAGATTTTACTTGAAATGATTTGGATTTCGAACCAAGTTTGAAAACCCTCAACTCCGAGAGGTTGGCAAGCGAACCAAGTGAGAAGAAGCCTTCAAAATTGTTATCTAACAACGATAAGTACTTGAGGGATCTAAGGTTACCGAGAGAAGATGGAACTTTCCCAGTCAATTGGTTTGATGAGAGATCAAGAACTCGAAGTCGAGTCAAGTCAGTTAAGCATAAAGGAAACTGGCCTTCAAGTTTGTTATGACTGAGATCAAGCTCTTGCATATTTTTCATTTCGCAAATTCCTGTGATGATCAAATGCAAATTTACATACACATCAGTAAACGTTAATTCACCACCAACTTTAATGAAGTAACATAGTATATGTATGGACTTGCCTTGTAATCCCATTGATGCAAAAAATTCATTACCACTTAGATCCAAAGCTTTCAGATTCCTTAGAGCAGGTAACACTGCCACAAGATAAAACCACACAAAGCAAAAAAAGAAAAAAAAACAACTTTGCCTGTGAATATGATGATCTCAAGAAAATATGTTGTACGGAAAGTACTCTGAGCTACCTAGCATTGGTAAAGGGCCATTAAATTTGTTTTCACTCAAGTCCAGCAGCTCCAAGTTTGTGAGATCTTTAAGTTCTGAAAGGAGTCCAACATAAAACAAATATCTTACAAATTAACAGAAGGCATAAAAAGTTAAAACTAATAATCTCAAAGCAAGTAGGTCAAGCTGAATCAAATCAGAGAAAGTAGCAATTCCAATAGAGGGTTCTAGCACCTAGCACCGGAGTTCTCAAAATACATATATATATATATATATATATTAATCTTTAATTGTGAAGTTCTATGTTAGTATATTTTCGGTTAGGTTTCCCGTAAAGTTGAGAATTTCACAATTAATTAAATATTAATATATACATATATACTAGGTGATTTTCCCGTGCTCATGCACGGACATGTATATTTATAAAATAAATATAGAATAATAATTGATTGATATTTACTTTAATTTTCAAATTAATTTATAGTTTTGTATGTCTAATTTTTATTATAATATTATATTACTTTAATTATATATATAATTTTAGATATGTTATATTTAGTTTGTTTTATTTTTTTTACGGTCGATTTAGTTATCATTTAGATATATTGGATTCTATCTATTTCTCTCAACTCAACTCTAATCTTTTATATTTTAAATATATTAAATTTTTGATTAATTTTCTTATTTGCATTTATGCTGGTTATTATCTTAGAAATATAAGTATATTTAGTAAGATTATATATAACTTAAGATTTTTTGTGCTTAGAAGGAAAAAAATAAAAACTAAAGTGTCTGATTCTAAATTATATACATAAGTAAGTAATGAATTTTTAGAAGCTTTTGAACACATATCAATATTTACAATAATTAAAATAATTTATAAATTCTAAACAAATTTATGCTTTCGATTGATTGGATGGTAAAGTGAAATTTATTTTAAATAATTTTAAAAATAAGGATTCTGATTTGCTTAAGTATTTTGACTATGGTTATATTAAGTTTCACAAACATAAAAACAGAAAAATTAAAAATCAAAAGATTTATTAAGAAAACATATAATTTTAAATATTAAAATATAATATATCTTCCTCGTTAAATTATATAGTGTTATGGTATTTTAAAATAATTGTAGTTATTTTCTGTTTTTATGTTTTAGAAACTTAATATAACCATAATCAAAATACTTAAGTAAATCAGAATCCTTATTCTTAAAACAGATAATTTTAACTATTAAAATATAATATATCTACCTCGTTAAATTATATAGTGTTGTGATATTTTAAAATAATTTTAGTTACTTGATCAAAAGATGTTAATTATTAAATTTATTTTTAGTATCTCTTAAAATATTCAGTAAAAAGTGATTGTTTTTGAGAAATTATACTATATAAGTAAAATAGAATTTATATGTTTACTGTAATCGTAAGATATTATAGTCAAATAAATATACTAAAAAATAATTTCAATAATACTAATTATAAAAAATTACAATTAAACATATATCAGTTTATGTTAGTTTATGTTAGTTTATTATTTTATGTAATCATCTAATAAAATAGATAGATATACAAAAATAATTATTTTGAAAATATATATATAAAGAAAAAAAAAATTTCTAATAGCAATATTTTTTGTGTGAAATGTTTTTATGAAATCACATTATATACAGATTTTGTTTTTTTATCTAAGAAGATATAGATATAAAGTATTTTATTACTTCAAAGGTATATTTTATGTTATTTTAAAATATATTTAAATTAAATATTACTATTTTGTGAACTTTCCATTTTTTATTAAACCATATTATATATATTTATATTTTCGTTTTTAAATAGTTTTGTAAATTTTATAATTGTTTCCTTTTTATTTTATATTGTTATTTGGAAATTTTTAAAAAGGAAAAAATATTTAATTGTATTTTAATTCATTAGGGGTATCATAGTAATCAACCAGCGTTAGAATTAACGTGAGCGCAACACCTAATAAAGTGACTTCTCAAATAATATTATAGAGATGTATTTTGAGAACCATATGCTTAGAACCCGCCATTGAGATTGCTCTATGCAAAACATAAAATTTAAAGAAAAATTCTTTAGGAATGTTCCTTTAATTTAACTTTTCCAAAAAAAATTCAATGGAGAGAATTATCAAAATATGTTTTATTAAAGGGTAAATATAACTTATATTCCTACAATTAACAAATCTAGATTAAGTGTTTACCGTCTATACGATTTTGGGAGTGAGGTTTAATTTTTTTTTTTTTAAATTATAAAAATTCGCATTTGAAAATATAAACTTGAATTTATTATAAGTAATTTTTATTTTCTGTATATTTATATATTTTTAAAGTAAATGATAGTAGTAGTAGTAGTGTCTTTTTCTCTTTAGTAAAATTTTTTTGGTCATTTTTCTTATTGGATGCTATTTTGGTGACAAAAACCTAAATATACATTATCAGTTAGGAAATGAAAAAACACCTTCCTCTGGGAAAGGGCAATCCAATTTGTTGGACCTAAGAAACAGTCTCTTGAGTGATGTAGCGGAACCGAGAACGGGAAATATGCTGTTGTTGAATGTATTTCTAGAAAGATCCAGAATCTCCAGGTTATTTAATCTCCTTAAGCTCTTATAGCCTGCAAACGAAAACCTTTTGTTTTGGATAAATGCAAACGAGCTTCTTGCTAAACATTTGAGTAAACTTGCCTTGAAATGCTGTTAGTGCAGAAAAATTGTTATAACTTAGATCCAGAGTTTTCAGCATCCTCAGGGCAGATAAATCTGCCACAAGACAAAATTTAACACAAATGTAAGCACCTTTACCTGTGAACATCATGATTTCAAAGATTACACGAACCGATGTTACATGCAGCTATTAAATCAATAATAACCTACCTTGTACTTCTAGGGGGCCTTTAAATCTGTTTCTACTCAAGTTTAACAGTTCCAAGTTTGTCAAATCTTTAACTTCTGAAAGGAAAACAAATAAAATATAAGACTTACAAAAAACAATTATAACTACTGAATCGAACCAACAACATAGACATCATTGGTAATAAGGTCATCATGTGTATCCACTTGGTTACAAATGGATCTTTTTTTTCTTTTGACAACAAACGTTATATTAATCTAAAACACCTCAAGGGCTTGAGAGAATACAACCGGAGGAAAACTCAACAGCAAGCTGATTAACGAAGCCTACTACAACAAAAGGAAAGATAGATATGTTTAAGGAGTGAAACAACCCGAAGAAACGCTTCACCTGGGATCCGAAAACTAATGTTTGAAAGAACAATTGATAGTCGATATCGACGTTGAAACACCCAAATAAAAGGGTTTGGAGAGAGGCAGAGATGCCGATTTGGTAGCTACGATTGGCTAAGCAAACAACTAGACCAATGATAACAGCTCTAATACCGATGTTGACCTGGGAGACTAGGTGAATCTCAATTGATCCGGAGAGCACATGGTTACATGGATATAAAACATACCTTTAGCAGGAAAAGGGCCATCAAAGTCGTTATCCCGAAGAGAAAGAGTTGTAAGTGAAGTAGCCGCATTAAGAAAGGGAAATATGCTGCTGTTGAACTCATTTGAAGAGAGATCCAGAATCTCCAGGTTTCTTAATCTACTTAAGCTTTTATAACCTGCAAACGAGAATCTTTCTAAACATATAATAATGATAACATATTTCAATCATTTATTGTAATTTTTATGTGAAGGGAATTGAAACGATTGTTTCACGTGTTTGCAACACGTAACAAGCACACAGACGTGAGCAACTCAATGCAGAAACAGCGAAAGTCCAAGCACCATAATATCAAAAAGATAAAATGTTGAAACAATAAGGTAACATTTACTTCATATAATAGGTTTCTTAAGAACATATATAAGAAGTTAAAAATCTATATATATTTAAGAAGTTCCAATGCAAAACAAAAAAAAAAAACAAAATGATCAAACTAACCACAAGGGAAAACCTGGCACATACCTTCAACATCATCAAACACACCATTGAAACGGTAGTAAACGACACCGAGAAATTCATTGCCTCCATGGAAAGAAAGACTACGAACATCTTCGAAGGAATGCAGCAAAGAAAGATTTAGGAGATAAGTATCTTTGAGATACAAATCACCAAAATCAATATCGGTCACCCGTTTGCTTGCAGGATTGCACTTTACACCATCCCAACGGCAGCAATCGCTCTTTGCTTCGTAACTCCAATTAGGAACAACATAGTCAGACATCTCTTTAATAGTAATTGAGAATATGTATTTCTTGAGATCCAACAACGCCTTCCTTTCTTTTTCAACACAGCTTTTGTATCCATGTAGCTGCCCCAACAGTAATATCACCCATATCAAATATTGTCCCAAGAAAAACTTCCTCTCCATTTTTTTTTTGGTTAGAATTGTGGGTTCAATGCAAATGCCTCCACCGTTATATATAAATATACAAATAGAAAAATTCAAAGTACCTGTTAACGAGAACACTTTTAAACCATGACATACGTAAAGTGAGTACTGTTTACCTATAACTAGGTGTTTTCATGCACCATAAGCAGAAATTAAAATTTCAAAAGAAAATTTTGATTTATATTTTGACATTATTAATTTATATTTTAACTTCAGTAACTATAAAAAATCATAAACGTATCTTTGTAATCTATTTTCTTTTGATTTTCTATAACTATTTAAATTTATTTTATTTTAATTTTAATAAAGATAAAATTAAATTTTATAAAAATAGTTTAAATTATACTACTTTGTTTAATGATTATGTATTTCAAATATATATATCTTCTGATCAGGACTCTGTAGTTTTCCTATCTCCTTCATACATGACAAGTCTTTGATGTTATGGATTCCGTTTAACTAAAACAAACAAAGTCTCAAATATAATAGAATTTTGACTTGGTTACTCTTATTGGAAATGATAAAACTGATTTTCCTTTTAGTATATATGTAAAAGGCAAAAAATACATTGTTTCTATTTTTTGCCTTTTACATATATACTAAAAGGAAAATCAGTTTTATCATTTCCAATAAGAGTAACCAAGTCAAAATTCTATTATATTTGAGACTTTGTTTGTTTTAGTTAAACTGAAAAATCTTTTTGTTAATTTAAATGATGAAGATGAATAGATAAATTTAAATAATTTTAAAATATTTAACTGTCAAACTGTTTTTGGATTAGTGTTACTTTATTTAGTTTATTTTTATTAATGTGAGACATATATATTATTATTTTAATTGTGATATATGAAATATTAAAATATGTAATAGTTTAACATAAATAAATATTTATATGGAAAATTGATATTATTGATGATATATAAGTTATTTTTATTACCATATTTAAAATCCGTGTAAAAATGTTTAAATTTTTATAAGAAAATTTTACATCTCACAATTAAAGATGATGTCAGGTCTTCTTTTTTAAGTGTCATGTCATATTTTTTTTGTAGAGAACACTCATAATAAATGCGTGATATATGTCTCAATGAAGACCCATTGATAAGAAAAGTCAAGGTCTTTGTAGAGAACACTCATAATAAATGCGTGATATATGTCTCAATGAAGACCCATTGAACCCAATAACAAGTTCACAAAGACATTGGTTGAAACGTAAGGAAAAACTTTGTAAAACTATGTTACATGTTAATGAAAGATCAAGGCTCAGAATGTCTTTAAGTTTTGAGAGATCTCCAAGCTCTGTCGGGAGAAAACAACTTAAATCATTGCTTGGCAGATTCAACTGAAACATATAATCAAGTGGTCCTCCACGCAAATAAGATGACAGAGAGTAAAAATCATACCTATGCTTTTGCAGCAAATTTGATTTCGACAGTTAGATATGTGCTGTAGTCTAACTAGAATTTCTCAATCACAAATGTGGACTTGTAAAATCTCCTGTAAAGGATCCCACTAACGATATTTTCCAGTTAGTAGTAGTGACCAGACGTTCTCTTTTTTCAATATAAATGATATTCTCTCTGTTTCAAAAGAAAGTAGATGAAATATATGTAAGTTATTATTAATTACACCTCTCTGGCCAATAGTATTTGAGATAAATAAAATTATTTATAAAATCAATGTAGTTTGCAATTAATTTTTAGCTGAAAATAAGTATAATTTGTATTAGAATTGTAAAGTGACACTTATTTTGAAACAAAATTAAAAGGCTAAAATGACACGTATTATGAAACAGAGTGAGTAAATTACTGAGGCATGAAGGATCAAAGCCATTGAGCTTATGTGTGAAAAATGCCTGATGTTATTAAATCACACAGCTTCAATGGAATGAATCATGCAGATTGGAACCTATTAAAAAAAGAATAGTGAGATCCCCGGTATTGCCAAAACCGATGAGTTATATACACTCCCAGAGATTTATGTTTCTGCATTTTTCAACAGTGAACAGTGTGTTCCAAATTTTCCCTGTTAAGTCTGTTGCCTTCTAGCCTTCTAGGAGATTGCTTGACAGCATATAAGAACTCAACAAGAAATTCAGTAAATATACCTTCATGCGACAAGCATAAAGTGAGTGATCGTTATTTACTTTGATTGGTATGTGACGTAATTGTGTGATATATGTGACATGTCATGTATGTATGTGCCCATTTACTACGAAACAAGTAAGTCGAGTCTTTGTACTTAACAAATAAGTTAAAAGGAAATTAGAATTTTTTGTTTTGTTTTGGTTGGAATGTCCTCTTCAGGACTTGTTGCTAGAAAAATCCAAAGTAAGCTTTGTTAACTAACGTGTTTCAACGGTAACTGAGTTGCTGGTGTGGCTTTATCTACCACGTAAGATACATGTGATGTTAACGCCAAAAACGCAAACGCTGTGTTTTCGCATCATTCTTTTTCCCTGGTAGATAACCCTAAATCCTCATGAAACAGCAGCTACCATAGTCGCAGCCGCCCATCAAATCGGATTTGTAATCAGCAACTTATGTCGTCCTGGATCTTTTATCAGAGAGGAGATCACCGATTGGAGAACGGCGACTGAAGATGATGGTGGAACACGTGATAGTGATACACGTAAAATAATAAACGTGGAGACAAAAATAGTGGGTCAAAATTAAAATAGAGATAATACATCGGCGTTTTGCGGGAAAATGCGAGAACAGAGGACTGTTTTGCAAACTTTTGCAAGGAGATGCGTTGCTTGGTAAATAGTATATTCTTTTTGGTACCAAACATGAATTAATTAATTTAACGATAACCTGAAATTATCTTCTGACCATAACGGGAATATTCGTTAGTACTATGATCTGAAGAATGGATAGATCCACCAAAGCAGGTCAATGGACCGACTTCTGGATAAAAATAGATCCCTACTAAACGGACAGACACCAATTGAGTGTCTGAAGTCTGAAGAAAGACAGATACAAAAAGACCGTTAAACAAGCAAAATCCTATTGATCTAAGAAATTGTCATGGCGCAGCGGAATATGTTTACAAGTTCCCCTGATCTTGTGTAAATCTATGAGGAAAATACTTCGACAATAGCATGATATAATTTAAATAGAAACTAAATGAGACAAGCATTTTTTAAGTGGAAAATTTCATCGATGTGAGAAGGAAAAATCAGGGGATCGTAGTCCACTCAACAATCCACTATATAAATGTATGTGATTACAACCACGTCCTCTATGTTCAACAATCTGAACAGAACAGAGACTCAGCTATAAATAGCTATCTCTAACACAAGAACAACAACAACAAGAGAACAACAACAAAGCTTCAAAACCGGTAGCAACCAAACGACCTCAGCTCACAGGATTCCGGCAACCAGAGACTAATCTCACCGTACAAATCCAAGATAAACAAGTCAACAATATCTCTTCCAAATTTCAGCTCAAACCAAGAAGATCACACTGTTGAATTTACCAAACACGTAAGACAGCACTGCTGAAGAACTATGACGACCAGCTTCACGAAAACCCAGACAATAGAAGATCCAACCATTGAAATCCAAATCCCTTCGGTGAACCTTTAATCCACTGATTGAAGAAGCTTCCCACAAAATATCAGCCTAAACATAGTCCGTTGGACCCTCCAAATATGCCTTGACAAACCCATACGAAAATCTACCTCTTCTCTCTTTTCTCTCTTTTGCTTCCTTTCTTTCTTCTAGTGTATCTCCAAAAAATCTTACCACAAAATTAGGTTAAAAGACTTTATATAATATCTCATTAATCCCAAGGCCCAATACTAATCTCATGGATAAATATCATTGGTCCAACATCCAAATTTGGTTATCACTAACCAAACCCAATGGGTTTCCTCCATCTCAAAGGAACCCAACATATCACACTTTGTCCCAAGAAAAGCTTCCCCTCCTTTTTTTTTGGTTATGATTGTGGGTTCAATGCAAATGCCTCAACCTTTATATTTAAATGCCACAGAAAAAGATTCTGTACAATCAGAAAATTCCAAGTCTCTGTTAACGAGAACACTTTAAAACCATGACATACGTTAAGAAGAGTCAAGGTCTTTGTAGAGAACATTCATAATAAAGGTGTGATATATGTCTCGCCTAAGACTCATTTACCAAAAATACAAGTTAACAAAAGACTTTGGGGTCAGCCTCTCTTTACATCGATTAAGCTTTTATATATCACATGGCTGTGACTGTTTACACCCAACAGAAGAAATGAATCTGGTGGTGGATAGATTATTAGATGTTATCCTCTCACAAATAAAAATATGAAATTGCAGTAGATATATGTATTCCTCCTTATAAGACAAAAATATTCCAAAATATGTGTTGAAGCTTCTTTTTCCTTGATGAGGAATATCTGAGAACTGATCTTGAAATAATTCTAAGACAAAATACTTTTTGCAGAGGCCATGAAAGCATTGATAAGGCGAAGCCATGCCTGACACCAAGGACAATCAATGTACATAAGTACAAGAATGCCTATCATCACAACAACCACATTAACTGAAACAGTACTCCCAAAGGAGACCAACATGTTGGTATTGGATCTATAAGTTTTATTCTAAGGTGCAATAATTTTGACCCAAATCAGTGCAGACATAGTACCCAATATCCATGGAAATTATAATCCACATCACATACTACTTAGAAGTATACAAAGATAGACAAGACAATACACAAGAACCAAACACAAGCTGTTTTTTTTTATAGCTAAGAGGTTTTGTGAAGAAAAAAACAGCAAAAAATGAAAAATGATTTGGCACCAGCAATAGTTTACCATCAAAAGTTCCTCACCTTGTGGATGAAAGCATCAACGACGAAGAACCAACCTCTGCTCCAGCGAGAATCAAAAGAGAGTGATGTAAATATTCCAAGAAGTATTATTACAGAGACTACAATACAGAAAGAAAACGATCTAACCAAAGATACATCAGCAATAAGTAGACCTTGTTACAAATGGAGAAACACACCTTTAACAGGAAAAGGGCCATCCATCTTGTTGAACCCAAGAAACAGAGTTGTAAGTGAAGTAGCAGCGTTAAGAAAGGGAAAGATGCTGCTGTTGAATTCATTTGAAGAGAGATCCATAATCTCCAAGTTTCTTAATCTACTTAAGCTTTTATAACCTGCAAGCGATGATCTTATTAACAAAGAATCTAAAAATAAGATAGTCCACCCTAATCACTTCAATAGGTTCAATGACAACTTCTAATCTACTCTGCATGCCTGTGGAGTGTGGAATATAGTACCATAGTATTGAGAGGTGTTTAACTTTCAAGAATTAGAACAAAAAAATAAGATATACAGGGAAACAAACCTTCCATATCATCAAACAAAGCATTGAAAGCGCACTCAGATAAGTCTAGACTTTGAACCTCTTCAAAGGGATGCAACAAAGAAAGATTGAAGAAAGAATTCTCTTTGAGATACAAATCACCAAAAGCAATCTTGGTCACACGTCTGCTTGTACGACTGCACTTGACGCCCTCCCAACGGCAAACAATGGCTCTTTGTGTCATTAGTCCAAGTAGGGAGAACATAGTCGGCTTGTCCTTCTTCAGAAGTGGAGATAAGTTAGTGCTTGAGCTCCAATAAAGCGTTCCTTTCTTTCTGAATACAGCTTTTGTATCCGTGTAGCTGCCCCAACAGTACCATCACCCATATCAAGTATTGACCCAAGAACACCTTTCCTTCCATTGCAAATATGATACAAAAACGGCAAATGAAAGAAACTCAGAAGCAAAGATCTCTGCATCTATTTACTATAAACATTCAACTTTCCATACCAAAGTTTGTTGGAAATAGATTTGTGTTCACAGAGTGGAAGTCTCTGTTAGTAAAAACGCAAAAGCCATGTGACATGCGAAAGAAACTCAAAAGCCATGTGACATGTGTAGTAGCCTGAGAGGTATCTCTGTTTCTAAAAAAAATTTGACTCAGATAATAAAACTCATTATGGCATGCAAAGTCAAAGTCTCTGTTAAGAAAAATACTCGTAGTCATATGATATGAGTGCCGTTGACAGCATCTTGTACTTAGGCCATGCTTTTATATTATACGATATTGTGTGTTGTTGTTAGCATCTTGCCAAGAAGGTTCATCAGTTTTTTCATTAAACAATTTGCCAATAGAGAATCCCTGATCTAAGGATTCAACATATAAAGTTGTAATCTACTTCAGCTGACAAAGTTGCTGTTACTAAGGGTCTGACTGGTTGAAACGCGGCGGTTGCGATTGCGGTTGCGGGAGTTTGCGGATGTGGGTGGTTGCGGTTTCTAGCGTTATTAGACGATTTGTACGACTGGTATAGCGATTAAAAACTGGAGCGTTTGCGGGAAATTTATGACTGGTTGATTATGAGATACTACAGTGGTTCAATAATAAATTTCCAATATTAACATATTATAACATTATAAAAATATCAAAACATACTGTTATGATAAAAAATAATAACTATTAATATATTATAAGTAATAACAATATTATTTTATTATTTTTTATTTAGATGAAAATATAATTTCTATATTTAATAAAATATTCTAATATAATTAATTATATATTTATGTATTTATATATTTATCTATTTATCTATTTATATATGTATATATATATATATATATATATTTATTTATATATTTATATATTTATATATTTATATATTTATATATTTATATGTTATATATTTATATATTTATATATTTATATATTTATATATTTATATATTTATATATTTATATATTTATATATTTATATATTTATATATTTATATATTTATATATTTATATATTTATATATTTATATATTTATATATTTATATATTTATATATTTATATATTTATATATTTATATATTTATATATTTATATATTTATATATTTATATATTTATATATTTATATATTTATATATTTATATATTTATATATTTATATATTTATATATTTATATATTTATATATTTATATATTTATATATTTATATATTTATATATTTATATATTTATATATTTATATATTAATTTATATAATTATATAATTATATAATTATATATCTATATATCTATATATCTATATATCTATATATCTATATATCTATATATCTATATATCTATATATCTATATATCTATATATCTATATATCTATATATCTATATATCTATATATCTATATATCTATATATCTATATATCTATATATTTATATATTTATATATCTATTTATATAATTATATATTTATATATTTAATATTGAAAATATAGTGAAAATTCTTGATTTAAAGTTTTTATAATAGATTATGATATTTTTAGTGAATTTAAATTAAAAAATAAAAGGTAGATATAGTTTTAGTTATATTATTTTTATTTTTATATTTTAATTTAAATTTAAATTTAAAAGAAAAATAGTTTTTTTACCCATCCGCAATCGCCCGCAAACGCAAACGCTAGCTGAAACCAGCTTTTGATTTTAAGAGGTTGTGAGCGGTTTGAAGCGATTTGTAGTGGTTTTTGTGATTGTTGCAAAACGCTAGTAACCGCCATCAACCGCAAAAGCTGCGTTTGCGGGTGGTAGCGGGGAAACCAGTCGGACCCTAAGACTAAAAACAAAAACAAAATTGAAGTATGTCAATGTCATGCCAACACTAGTTGTTAAGCAAATGTGATTAAACTAAGCAAAAGAAGATAACGAAGATGCATAACCTGAGTCAAAGCCCATCCAATCGGAGTTGTACTCAACAATTCAAACATCGTGGGTCAAAATGAAAAAGGGATAATTGTATCGGCATTGTAAGAAAATGCGAGACAAGAGGGTTTTATTTTGCAAATATTTTGCAAGGAGATACGTTGCTTGGTAAATAGTATATCAATTTAATTTAATTTAATTTAATTTAATTTAATTTAATTTAATCTATTAACAACCTGACGAAAACGGAATATTCGTGTGTCTGAACTGAAGAATGATAGATCCACCAAAGCAGGTCAATGGACTGTCTTTTGGATAACAATAGATCCTAAGTAAACGGACAGTCACCAATCGGGTGTCTGAAGAAAGACAAGACACAGAAAGAGAGTTAAACAAGCATTCCAATTGATCCAAGAAATCGTCATGATTCTTACAAGTAAGCTTCTCAGTTTCAAACTTCTCAATTTAAGTTTTTCTTGGTTTCTCATTGTTCTGTATCATCTGAGTATGTTTGATTGATCGGTTCTATTACATTAGCCTAAGAATGAAATTTACAAAATTTTGATCATTGCCCTTTGACTTTCTTCCCCTGTTCATCCTTAAAAATGAAAAGCAAATTGAAAAAAAGAGCTTTATAAGTTAACAAGAAAGAATCTGGAAATGTTTCCTTTTTTAGTATAATGTAATAAAACAAACACAAGACTGTGACTTGAGAGTCTAAAAAAGCTTATACATTTACATTCTATTGATTCAATTCGAAAATGAAAAGTTTGAGTCTTTGTATCAGTTTTTTTTGCCATGTGTTCCACACTACAGTAACATAAGGAAGAAGCCAAAAAATAAAAGTGAAAGTTTGATATGAAAATGGGTTATTGTTCACCTTTACAGAATGCTTGCTATTGATATGGCTACTATCTCTAGTCACTCTGTGTGCTGGAAGGACATTATGCCAACACCCTGGTAAAGGAGTCAAAGATTGTAATAAGCGGCCAATTCAGACTTCACGTCCTTTTAACATCGCACACAGAGGTTCCAATGGAGAGATCCCAGAAGAAACTAAAGCTGCATACTTGGTATTACCATTGATCTTTCCTTGATCAATCTCTATGATTTGATTATTTGGGACATTATGCTGAAGCAAGTTTTATGTCTTTTTCGTCAGAGAGCAATTGAAGAAGGTACAGACTTCATAGAAACAGATCTCTTATCATCCAAAGATGGTGTGCTTATCTGTTTCCATGATGTTGCCCTTGACTTAACAACCGATGTTGCGAGTCACAAGGAGTTTGCTGATCGTAAAAGGACATATGATGTCCAAGGTTTCAACATCACTGGCTTTTTCACTTGTATGTTCCCAGCGATTCTTCTTTCTTTTAATATATCTACATAAGTGGATGCATGCCAATGGATTCTTCTCAGCATATTACTGCACATAATCTCATCTAAAACCCGCATAAAGAAGCATCTACTAAACGTTTCAAGAGGGTTTATTTGAATTTGAGCTATTTGCTAACAATTGGTTTCCCTTTGATTGCTTGCAGTTGATTTTACTCTCAAAGAATTAAAGACCCTACGGGCAAAACAGAGATATGCTTTCCGGGACCCGCAATACAACGGTCAGACGACCCTTCTTTCCTGCACTGTAGATTGTTGAGGGAAACACTTAACCATATTGGCTGGTCCCATTTTCGAATTGCAGGAAAGTACCCTATCATCACATTTGAAGAATTCCTTGCCATTGCTCGGGATGCTCCAAGAGTTGTCGGTATATATCCTGAGATTAAAAATCCAGTTTTAATGAACCAGCATGTAAGTTACAATCTCACAAGCTTGACTTTTGTTTTTATTGGCTTGAAAAGGCTCTTGCACCACCATTAGTTTCAGTTTCCAGACAATGATAAGCTCTTTTGGCTTTTATCTCCCATGAAAGCGATTTTAACTTTGAGTTTTTTGTTACTAAATCACTGTTGAATACCTGCAGGTCAAATGGCCTGGTGGTAAGAAATTTGAGGATAAAGTTGTGGAGACTCTTAAGAAGCATGGGTATGGAGGCGCATATTTGTCCAAGGAGTGGTTAAACAAACCCTTGTTTATTCAGTCATTTGCCCCATCTTCACTCGTGTACATATCAAAATTGACAGACTCACCAAAACTCTTATTAATAGATGGTGTCATGCCAACTCAAGATACTAACCAGGTCCATCCTCTGTTCCTCTTCTTGTTTTGTGTATTCCTGAAACTTCTTATCCTTACTCACTCTTCTTTCTTTCAAAATCTAACCAGACATACGCAGAGATCACATCAGATGCCTATTTCACCTACATTAAGGAGTTTGTGGTGGGGATTGGACCATGGAAAGATTCTATAGTTCCAGTAAAAAACAACTACATGCTAACCCCTACAGATTTGGTCAAAAGAGCTCACGCACATAAACTACAGGTAGGTTTTAAAGAGATTCTTTCCAGAGACTGAGAATCAGTAAAAACATGATATTAACTTTCTTGACCATGTGAATGCAAACTCAGGTGCATCCATACACGTACAGGAATGAAAACCAGTTCTTACACTTTAACTTCAGCCAAGACCCATATCAGGAGTATGAGTACTGGATCAAAGAGATTGGTGTTGATGGACTCTTTACCGATTTCACCGGTAGCCTTCACAAGTATCAAGAATGGGCATCTCCATTACCTGACACCACTAAGCCCCCACGAAAGCTATTGAATCACATTGCTTCTTTGGTCAGCCCTTATGCAAAGGCTTGAAGTACCACTTCTAAAGTCTATAATCTAACAGAGGAGTCTTGAAGATTAAATAAAAAGTGAGAGACACAGCTTTATCAAATTGTATCTGTTTTACTTCACAAGATTTATACATTTTACGTCAACAACTTTGTAAAATCTTGGAACAGAGTTCTATAATACCAAATTGTTTCTATCAAACTTTTAACATACACAAATCAAACTCAATCCCCTGAAAAGATCTTTCACTCAGACACAGCAAGTTGTGCAGCAAGGGAAGCAAGATAACCATTTAGGGGTGCGGTTAGGAGGATGGTCAGCTTCTGCTTTAGGAGCTTCCTCTTTCTTGAACCCTTCATCTCCCTCAGCCTCAGAGGAACGCTTTGGTGTGTCTGGCTGTGACGGCTTCGTTTGTTTCTTTTGCGGCGTTGAGCCTTGTAGTCCACCTTTATCTGCATTCCCCAATCTAAGACAAAAACAAGAAAGTGAGAAACACAAAAGATATATCTGTTTTAAGACATAAAGAGAAGAGAGGTTTTGTTTACATTGGAAAAGCAAAAGACTTGACGCTTAAATTTTCAGACCGACGAGAAATAGAACGATCTAGTTTATTGTTTTTGTTGTTATCTTTATTAGCAGCAGCTTCATTAGCCATGATAAACTCTCTTATACTTGATGGAGTCTTTTGTTCTTCCTCTTTACTTGCAGGAGACGCTTTCTCTGCTTCAGCTGCTTTCTTGTTTATATCCACCGGAGTTTTGGCCTCCTCCACAACACCACCACCACCTCCTCCTCCTCCTCCTTCTTGGTTTGTATTTTGACGTGGAGAAGGTAATGGAGAAGGCAAATGAGGAGTTCTTGGTGAAGGAGGCTGAGGAAACGTGAGCTCACCTGATTTGAAGTAATCGTTTGCGTTGAAGCTATTGTTTCCCATGCGGATGCTGAAGAGAGATTCGTTGGAGAGAGTGCTCCATTCAGCTGGAGCTGTAGAAGGTGTTCTTGCGAAAACGTGTGAAGGGATTCTATAAGGAGGTGTGGTGGGAGTCGAGGTAGTCGTTGTGGTTGTGTTGTTTGATGATCTCTCCATGATTTGCGTTGGAGGAGATTGGTTATAGTTTAGATTCTCATCAGGTCTTGGCTCAGCTTCTATTGAAGAACAAGAAGATGAAGAAGAAGAGGAAGATGATGAGAGTCGTACGGTTTGATCATTTGGTTGAAAAAAATTGTTCTCTTGTGACGTTTCCATGGTTACAAAATGAAAACTCTGCTAAAAATATCAATCTGCAATGTAAACTAAAAGATGATGAAGACAAAAGAAAATTGATTATAGGTTTAAAGATATTTTAGAAGATAATGAGATGTTAGAAGAGATTTTAGTTAACCTTCTGATGTTGTCAGACGTCAACGATGAGAAGACGAAGAACACAAGGAAGAAGATTTCTATTTTTAGTAAGTTTTAATAACAAGTTTTTGGAAGGCCAAGAGACAGAGGAATGTTTATTTGTTTTTGGAATCAGGAGAGTTTAAAGGACATGCACGCGTATATACTTCTGATTATAGTACATACATGTTAAACCCAATTTTAATCTCAACTATTTTTCGACATTTCTAAGTAAAGATTTAAGATAAGTGATCATATGAATCCGGTTCGGTTCGGTTTGGTTGACCATTGGTTTAATTTTTTACCAGGTCTAAATATATGTGGCAGATGATCAGTGAGCGAATCTAACGGTGAAGATTATCTTATAGAAATGAACGGACAGGATGAGTTTATTATTCGACATAAGCCCTTTTTCTTACAATGGTTGTCACTACTGGCGAGAATTGAAAGACGCTTCCAGAGAGAGAGAGAGATCGTCTCCCTTAAACCCTACAGAGTTGGTACGGTCTCGTCGATTCTTTATTTAGTTGTTCAGTTATTTTAATTATGGATTAGATTTGATGTTCTGAAGTTTCATCTTTGATGTTCCGACAATAAAGTTTATCTCTCTTTGTTATTGTTTCTGGTCTCATTCTTTGTTTTACGAATCCTCTTATGTAACATAGGACGTTGATTTGGAATTTATACATGTTTACCTTTCACGGTTATAAGTGATGATGGAATATGTGGGTTTAGTGGGTTGACCTTTTTAAGGTTTGGTTCAATCTTTGTTGATTCTTCTTTCAGAATGATTGTTATCGTTGTGTCTGATAATCCTTTGTTCACCCATATGTGTGGCTAATACGAATACAGATGATAAAGTTTGTAACTTTCTTGTGTTTTGCGTTATTTATTTTATGAAAGGTTGCATTTTTATTTTCTATTGACGATTGAAATGGTTTCGTTCATGGGTTTACCGTATGATTCCGCCTTTCTGTGGAAACACTATCTATGTTTTGATTTGTCTAACTCTTTGAAATTGGGATCAGTATACAGATACGGACCTCATGGCTTTCTTAAGTAGAGTTGGAAGGATATTTAGGCAGACCAGCACCCATGTCACTGCCTCTAACTCAATGCTACAGAGCGTCCGTTGCATGTCTTCGTCTAAAATCTTTGTTGGAGGTGAAAATAAATAACTCTTATACGGCTGTCTGAGAGAGTACTCTCTCTTTTCTTTGTTTCTGTTTGTCTCCGCTTGTTTTGTCTCAAACCTGTCTATATTGGTTGCTTCAGGTATCTCCTACAGCACTGATGAGTTTGGGTTAAGAGAAGCTTTTAGCAAATATGGAGAAGTTGTTGATGGTAGCTAGCTAACTCCCTTTAAGTCATTCCCAAAACTCCAGGCTTTGATGTTTTTAACTTTGTTTTTCTTCTGACATTTGCAGCGAAAATCATTGTGGACCGTGAAACGGGTAGATCAAGGGGATTTGCTTTCGTCACATTTACCTCTACCGAGGAGGCTAGTAATGCCATGCAACTGGATGGACAGGTATAAACACCATTTTTCCAGTTTCTTTTGAAACTAAGATGTCATATGGCTTATTCCTGTGTCACTCTTTTCTTTTTTGACTCTGAATATCTTGTTCTGGATGCTTGACCTATTGTTAAATTGGTTGTATCTTGAGGATGCATGTTTCTAGACCACTTGATGTTTTTGGCCTCTCAAACTTGGCAACATAGGTAGGTTGGGTATCGTCATCTTGAAGTACTATACCTTCGTTAGGCAGCGACTTCCTCTTATTGGTGTATTCCTGAAATAAATGTTTGTTGTCATGTCTAGATGACTCTGAAAATGTAAAATTGCTTCTTCTTCTATCAGCTATTTATTGGAGGTTTGTTTTTGGCAAACAGGACCTTCATGGTCGAAGAATTAGGGTGAACTACGCAACTGAAAGAGGAAGTGGATTTGGAGGAAGGGGATTCGGTGGTCCTGGTGGTGGCGGTGGTTACGGTGCTCCAGCTGGTGGTTATGGAGGTGGTGGTGGTTACGGAGGAGGTGCTGGTGGCTACGATACTCCCGCTGGTGGTTATGGAGGCGGTGGTTACAATGCTCCAGCTGGTGGTTATGGAGGCGGTGGTTACAATGCTCCAGCTGGAGGTTATGGAGGCGGTGGTTACAATGCTCCAGCTGGTGGTTACGGAGGTGCCCCATCTTATGGTGGCAACGCCGCTGATGGTGGTGGATATGGTGTTGCTGGGGGTGTTGGTGGAAGTGACAACTTTGCTCAAGGCAGTTCCTCCAATGCTGGCTTTGATGACAAGTTTAGCAGTAACGAACCATTAGGCAATGATACGGATCATCAGCTTGAAAGCGCTGGCGATGAGCAGTTTGGTGGCAGTGACAATCAGTTTGGTGACTCAGAGAGCGGTCAAACAGAGGCTGGTCCGGACGGGGTTGATCAGACTGATGATGGCGATGTTGCCAAGAGAGCTTAGTCTCTACAATGCTACGTCCTGGAAACTTTTCTTTGCAGTTTCAGAATAAACCTATGGACGTTTGTTAGTCTCTTTTTAACGTTTGGTGTTGTTTATCATGCAGAGACCTCTCTATTGTTGGTCGTTTTTCTTATGTTTTGTGACATTCTGAGGCCCGCAAATAAAAACTGTAATAACTTCTAACAGACTCGTATCCGTTCTATTTAAGGTTTTATTACTAGTTCAATGAGTTTTACAAGATCTTTGAAACTGAAGACTACTCAATCTGCTTTGGCTAATGAACAAGTCTTCGCCACTTGGACTTGGCTTACCTTTTTTTTGCATTGCTCACAAAGACGCATGAAAATCGATGGCTCTTTATGCAAATGCTCAGTTTACAAGTAGCGAGTTGTAGGCTCATGCAAATCGAAGGTTGTTTGCAAGGATGTTCTCTTGAAAAATCCCAAGAACTGATGCTACAGGCTACAGTGAGACATTTATATGATCAGAGCAGTTCGAATAACAATTAACAGAGTATCTCATCATTGCAAAAGAAGGAAGATTCAAGAGAGAGCATACATTGTTCATCTGTTCCACAACCTCTCCACATATCAAATAGACATCAGTTTTGGTTTGCTTCGAGCTTCTTCACAAGCTCTTCAAACTTCAAAGCCACATGACAGTATACATATCAAAGAGAAAAAAAAAACAAATATTATCGTACTGAAAGCGATCTTATTGGACACACGGACTCAGGAAGGAATCAGCCAATTACAGTTTTACCCTTCAGTTTTCTGATAATTTTGGAATTAAAATGTTTTGAGTAAATCGCTGCGGTTCACAGATTGGTATGGGTCGATGTGGCGAGAATAGCGTAGCGCGCAAAGTCTATTAATCACTAAAACCTCATAAGCCCTAAAACACACCTGGAACCTTCCACAGTTACAAACAGTAGTCGCTCCAACGGAATATGGCGAGCAATGGCTCCGATTCGAATCGCCAACAACCTCCTCCTCTCAGCATCGAAATCAAATCCTCTCAGGATCAATTCTTCGGTAAGCGCCGATTATCTTCTCTATAATGGGAAACGAATCGTTGTAGTTTGGTTTATTTTGCCTATGATTACGGTTAGACGATGAGTTTCTCTGCGAATATATGTCGAGATTACGTTTGTTGATTGTGATGAGAACATTCCGGTCATGCTTAGTGCCGTTTTATCGGAAGATATGTAGTCTAAATTGCAAAGGCATTGATGTATGTATGTATGTATGTAGTGTGGAGAGAGTTCGTATGGGGAGGTATAGCTGGAGCTTTTGGTGAAGGGATGATGCATCCTGTTGATACTCTTAAAACTCGACTTCAGAGTCAGATTATCATGAATGCGTCTCAGGTATTGTCTCAAGCATACATTCACTTTCCAGTGATTTAATTGGCTTTGTGATTTCTGAGTTTATCTGAGGAAATTAAGGATTATGAAAGATTGTATATGTGATTTAGTTTGCGGATTGTATCATCTCTAACCTTGTTCAGCTGTTGGTTTCAGAGGCAGAAGAGTATTCCACAAATGCTAAGGACTGTCTGGGTTGGTGATGGATTGAAAGGTACATCATTCATACTATTTTCCCTCAGCTTCTTCTAGCTTATCCAGTAATGGCTGCATTATATTCCCTTTCTACCTGTGAATGTGTCCCCTTCTCACGCTTCTTGTAGCATGCTCATGTGTGATTTACTATCCTATTTATCATCATTGCCTAGGCTATACATGTTTGCGCTGCGAACTTGGAATAGGAAATATTTTTCTCCAATGCTCTGAGTTATTGTTTTTTTGTTATTTTTCTAGGCTTTTATAGGGGAATTGCTCCCGGAGTTACAGGATCTCTTGCCACTGGAGCTACCTACTTTGGTGTTATTGAGTCTACAAAGAAATGGATTGAAGAGTCTCATCCCAACTTAGGAGGCCACTGGGTGCACTTTCTTGCAGGAGCTATTGGTATGTTTTCTAATCTCCTCTCTCGTTCATCTGATCAATAAGGTGGTGGTAAAGATAGGAGGAAGAAACTGATTTTGAATGCCTAGCACACAGCAGAAATGAAACTAAATATAACCTGGCTAAAAAAGACATTTAAATGTTGTGTGACGATTATAACTTTAGAAATCGTGGGTCTTTAAAAGATAGATCAAGTACATGGCTAGGTTGCAAGAATTGCTGATTGTTTACGTGAGAACATGTTGAATTGCCATTAATCTTTACTCTCTCCCATGAAAATCCGTTGAATCGCCTTTTTATAAATTTCATCATGAAAAATTCTCGCTGTATGTTTGCATATACTCCATGAGTGTTCCCAAAAATCGGAAAATGAAGGAAACCTAAAGTTATCTAGAGTTAGAGAGCGTCTGATTCCTTTGTGTTCTGCTGCTTTTTTTTTCCTTTTTTCAGGTGATACACTTGGTTCTTTCGTATATGTTCCTTGTGAAGTAATAAAGCAGCGGATGCAAATTCAAGGCACTAGTAGCTCTTGGAGCTCTTTTATTTCTAGGAACAGCGTTCCAGTGAAACCAAGAGGTGACATGTATGGTTACTATACTGGAATGTTCCAGGCTGGAAGCTCAATATTGAAAGAGCAAGGACCAAAAGGACTGTATGCTGGGTATGTAAATTTCCTTCAGATCATTATTGATGCCAATTGGATATCCTTTTTCAAGAGGCCCATGTTGTTATCTTTCCTTTTTATTTGGCAGATATTGGTCTACACTAGCAAGGGATGTACCTTTTGCTGGCCTTATGGTACGTAATGTGACACTTCAGTGAAACCTTTTCCTTCATTTATCTGATGAGTCTTTTGTTTCTTCATGTTGGTTCTGTATTTTCTTCTCAGGTAATGTTTTATGAAGCATTGAAGGATCTAACAGATCAAGGGAAGAAAAAGTTTCCACAATTTGGACTCAACAGTTCAGTCGAGGGGCTCGTATTGGGAGGATTAGCTGGTGGTACGTTTAAATATCAGTTTAAAGAAACCATTCCAAATATCTCACCCATAGTGACCTTTGTTTAATTAATGCCTCTCCAGGACTAAGTGCGTATCTCACAACTCCACTAGATGTTGTAAAAACAAGATTGCAAGTGCAAGGAACAACGATCAAGTATGTCTTATCTTCTTACAGATTCAAATGATCATATCTAAAATAGCATCCCCAGTTTTGATTAAACGTTGTTAATTTCGATAGGTACAAGGGTTGGCTGGATGCAGTTGGGCAGATATTGAGGAAGGAAGGTCCAGAGGGTTTCTTCCGAGGAAGCGTCCCGAGGGTCATGTGGTATATTCCGGCCTCGGCACTCACATTCATGGCCGTTGAATTCCTTAGAGAGAATTTCAGAGAGAAAGATAATAAAAATGTTGTCTCAAACTTGAGCATTGAGAGGAAAAGATCTTCAGTACATGAGGTTAGAGAGAACTAGTGTCTATATACGGCTCAGTGTTTTGTTTCTTCTTTTCAGATACAGTTTTAACAACAATCTGATTTCTCTTCAATAAGATACTTTCTTTTACTTCCCCCGTTTATAAAGTTTTACAGAAAAAATATTATTGTTGGGCTCTCTTCTATATATATGTCCAAGGTCAAACTCTCGAACAGCCTCCCAGTTCGAACTGTGTTCTGTTTTCTTAAGTGATAACAAAAGAGGAAGTATTGTAAAACCCTAAAAAGCCAGGAGATGGCGTCTTCATCACGCTCGGAGAAACGGTGCCTCTACGAAGTTCTCGGTATCAGCAAGGAATCATCGCCGGACGAGATACGATCCTCTTATCGGCGTTTAGCTTTGCAGCGTCATCCCGACAAGCTCATCAAGGCCGGTGGAATATCAGAAGCTGATGCCACCGCCCAGTTCCAAGAGCTCGTTCACGCTTACGAAGTTTTATCCGATTCCAAGGAGCGAGCCTGGTATGATTCCCACCGTTCTCAGATTCTATTCGCCTACGCCGGTGGCTCAAAACCTGGTGGAATGCCTGGAGGCTCTGTTCCGGATCTATTCTCTTTCTTCTCCACCACTGTATATACCAATTACTCAGACACTGGAAAAGGATTCTACAAGGTGTACTTTGATGTGCTCAACAGTATTTACTTGAACGAGGTTAACTTCGCGAGGACGTTAGGGTTGAGGATGGACTCTCTGAGAGAGGCTCCTGTCATGGGGAATCTAGAGAGTCCTTATACTCAGGTGACGGCGTTTTATAACTACTGGTTAGGGTTTAGCACTGTTATGGATTTCTGCTGGGTTGAGGAGTACGATGTGATGGCTGGACCTAACCGGAGGATGAGGAGGAAAATGGAGGAGGAGAATAAGAAGGTGAGGAAGAAGGCGAAGAAAGAGTATAACGAGACTGTGAGAGGCTTGGCTGCTTTTGTGAAGAAGAGGGATAAGAGAGTGATTGATATGATGGTGAAGAAGAGTGCAGAGATGGAGGTGAAGAAGGCGGAGGAAAGGGAGAGAAAGAAGAAGATGGATAAGGAGAGATTGGAGAGAGCTATGAATTACGAGGAGCCTGATTGGGCGAAGGCTTAGGGTGGAGAGGAGGAAAGGGAAGGAGTGGAAGAGGTTGATGGTAAGAAGAAGAGTGAACAGCTCTATTGCATTGTTTGTTGCAAGAAGTTCAAAAGTGAGAAGCAGTGGAAAAACCACGAGCAGTCGAAGAAGCACAAAGAGAAAGTGGCGGAGTTGAGGGAGTCATTCTTAGAAGAGGAAAAGGAAGAAAACGATGAAGAGGCACCTGAAACTGTAGAAGAGCTCCACGAAAACCTTGGGGAGAGGTTAAATATTGACGACGAAGAGGTGGAAGAAAAGGATGTTGATGAAACTGATGATGAGTATTTCATGGCAGAGGAGGATTTGAAAGAATCTAGTGAAAGCGAGGATGAAGAGAATGCCGATTATGAGATGAGTCTACTCAACAAGATGGTATCTGAGCAGAAGAATAAGCTAAAGAATGTTGTGTCAAGAAAAGAAGATGAAGTAGTAGTCGAGAATGAGAACGACACAGCAGAGTTCAGAGAAGGTAACAATACAGATGACAATGTGAATGCAACGGACTCAGCTTCCGGAGCATTTGAGGCTACTCAGAAAGATGAGGAACAATCAGTGGAGTATGATAACAGGAAGAGCACAGGGAAGAGGCGCAGAAGTAAGAAGGGTAAGGATAAGAATAACCTTGGAGGGTTAATGGAGAAAAGAAATGAAGCTGATAATACTCAAGGTAGAAATGGAGACATGGAAGAATCTCATTCAGAAACGTTTGAGGATCGAAGTGAATATATAGAACACAAGAAGGCTCCCAGATCAAAGAAATCAACCAAAGGAATGAAGTCTAAGGTACGATCATTCTTCACGTGTAGCATTCACTAGATAATAGTTTCTGTCAGTGATAATTCTTAATATAACACATATCAAAATGCAGGGTACATCGAAGAAAACCAGTAGTAACGAATGTGATAGATGCGGAGAGGGTTTTGAGTCGAGGTTGGTCCATGAAACATCTGTTCTTTTGTCATCACCAATTCTCAAGCAGTATATTTCGTATCATTCATAAGTTGTTGACACATACTTTGTCTAACCTTGGCTAGGACAAAACTATTCAAGCATATAACTGATACCGGTCATGCGACAGTGAAATCCCGATGATCCATAGCTCATGTTAAAGGATTATGCAGAGAAGAACCAAAAATTACATTCTTTGATTTAATTTATACGTTGGAGACGATGGAGGAGGAGGATGGGGGAGAGAGAGCAAATAAGCTACGTTTTTGACATTGTTGTAGTGCATATGAATTGGTGATCAAACTATGTAGTGCATAGGAATTGGTGATCAAACTATGTTTTGACATTGTTGCAGAGAAGAAACCTATCTAAGGTTGGCTCTATAGTTGCATTATTTCAAGTATATCATTCGTAGCACAATCAAGATTGTGGGATCATGTGATACATTTTCTACGTTCTAGACTTCTAGTTAATGTTCAGGGTCTCATCGTTGAAGTATCATCAGGTATGGTTGTTGTAGTAGCTTTTACTGTCCTTAACCACTTCAATATATATCGTTGCCAGACTAGGCTGAAGTGTATTATCAGTTTTTTTTTTTTAAAAACGTACACCCAAATGTGAGAATACTCTCACTAAAACAGCAGATTCGACAAACTCCGTTTGAAAACTCGGCAAGTACCAAACGCACAACAAAAGACTGTAGAAAAAGATTTATAACACCAGGCTTAAACATGACTCTTACAACTGAGAGCACCAGTCCCTAGCATTCTGGAACATCTTCAACCACGGACTAGGCCCAGCTTTCTCAACCTCCCAGCTCTTCGGGTACCACGGGTACTGCCACATCAAGAAACACCTTTCAGGATGAGGCATCATCGCAAGATGTCTCCCATCAGGAGAGCATATAGCAGCTATCCCCAACGGTGAGCCATTGAAATTAAAAGGGTAAGCTTCAGTGACACTCCCATCATCATCACAGTATCTCAACGGAGCCAAATCTGAGTGAAGCATATGGTCCAAGACTCCTTCATCAGGGAAATAAGCCCTTCCTTCTCCATGCGCTGCCCAAACTCCTAAGGTGCTTCCCTCCATTCCTTTCAGCATTATCGATGGTGAGTCCTTAATGGTCACGCTTGTGAACCTGCACTCAAACCTTCCTGATTCGTTGTGAACAAACCTTGGCTGCGACGTGTCGAGTGACCCGCCGACTTGAGGGCCTGGAACCCATCCTAACAAGGCCATTAGTTGACAACCATTGCAGATTCCGAGGCTGAACGTGTCTGGTCTTTTGTAGAACTCTTGGAACTGGCTGAGGAGAGGCTCGTTGAATTTTATTGAAGCAGCCCATCCTTTGGCTGAGTCTAGGACATCAGCGTAACTAAACCCTCCAACAAATACAATCCCACGGAACTGATCAAGAGTGATGGCTCCAGCTAGAAGGTCAGACACTGTCACGTCCCATGGTTCAAAACCTGCAGCGTAAAATGCTGCTGACATTTCCCTGTCCCCATTGCTGCCTTCCTCTCGGATCACAGCTACTTTTGGTTTAACATCTGAGAACAAAAACTCTCATCAAGAAACATAATCTTAATGAGAAAAACAAGCTTCATAGAGAGTGAACCTTACCCTTAGACATATAACTATCATTGGTCCAGGAAGGAGTAAATGAGAGTTTCCAGTTAGGTTCATGCCTCAACTTCAAACCTTCTTTCTCCATCTCTACACAAGACGCTAGTCGCTGAAGCTTCTCTAGCTGGAAACTTGTGTCTTCCCACATGTCTCTGAGGAATGAAGTTTTCTCACTCAAATGAGTAATTCCATCCACTTTCACCTCTATCAAAGGTGAGTCAGTGACTTTCCCAATGATCTCAGCAGTAACATTGTAACCACGGAGTTTCTCCAACACAGCGTCTAAGTTCTTGTTGCTAATCTCCATCACGAGACCGAGTTCTTCAGAAAACAAAGTCTCAAAGAGGCTTATACCGTTCGATTCCAAGTTGAGGTTTATACCTTTGTTTCCAGCAAAAGCCATTTCCAAAGCTGCTACGATGAGTCCACCATCGCTGATATCATGTCCAGCAGATACCAAGTTCTCTGAGATGAGAGCTTGAACTCCCTCGAAGACGTTTTTCAGATATGGAACATCATCAATATCAGGACAGTCGTTACCAATCTGACCAAAGACCTGAGCCAGTGCAGATCCGCCTAATCTCCGCTTTCCCTTTGCCAAATCAACATGCAAGAGAACACCACCATCAGCATCTCCAAGCTTCAGATCAGGAGTCACTGTCTTTGTGATGTCTGGACAGGTAACATAAGCACTGATCACAAGATTTCCGGGAGCCTTAACAACCTCACCATCGGCATGAGCTGCCATTGAAAGACTGTCTTTTCCACCATCAATTGCAATACCAAGTTCAATCATCGCTTCAGCTAGAGCAGTTGCAGCATCATACATCGCTGAACCTTCTCCTTCAAGCTTGGCAGCATACATCCAGTTACCACTGGCCTTAACATCAGATAGTGCAGTAACCTTCGCCCAAACCAGATTTGTCAAAGCCTCTCCAACGGCTAGTCTAGCCATGGCTTTTGGATCAAGCAGACCTTTAATTGGTTGCTCGCCAATGGCACATGCACCACCTGTAAGGTCTGTGAATGTCTGTGCGATGACTGCAACATCAGCAAGGGTGATCTGCAATGGTCCAACTGTTTGCTGCTGTGCAACAAGACCTGTAACACATCTATCCACTTTGGTTGTCAAGAACCGCTTCGAAGAAACCGATGGTAATCTCAGAACCCTTTTCAAAGAGTCCATCAAGGTGATCCCAGGAGCAATATCAAGTGGCTCACGTGCATAAGCAACACGGTTAAACTCAAACGTTTTCTTAGGCATATCACCAAGAACCTTCTCGAGTTCAAGATCCACAGCAGGAGGAGGTGGAGGTAGCCCTTCTTTCTTGCACTTGGCTGCAGCTGTGCTGTCAATTAAAGTACAACGACCTTCCCCATTAATTGTCCCAAGCACAGCCATTGAAAGCCTTTCCCTCTTACAGATAGATTGCAAAACCTCTCGGCTCTCAGCTTTCACCAAAATAGCATCTTGCTCTTGATACTCTGCTCCCCATATCTCCAACACAGACATAGTATGATCACCCACAACAACAGCTCTTATGTCAATCTCTGCCCCCTTTGGATAAATAATCTCTTTGACAACATTACAGTTCCCACCAGCGCCCTGGTCATGAATACTGATAATAGGATTCTTCTCTCCCATCTCAATACAAGCACGGACAACACGGTACAACTTCTGCGACATCTCAGCGTCTCCACGCTGGACAGCATTGAAATCAAGCTCTGCATCGTTCTGACCACTAACCATACTCGAAGCTGCACCTCCTCCCATACCAATACGGTAAGCAGGTCCACCAATCTTAACAACAAGCATCCCAACTTCTGGCTCCCCTTTGGTTATATGAGTATGATCGATCTGTCCAATACCTGCACTAAACATAATCGGCTTCAACCATTCTCTTCTATCTCCACTTGGCAGTCTCATTCCAAAAGTCCTGGTGTATCCTTGAATCATAGGCTCTCCAAACTTGTTCCCATAGTCAGATGCACCGTTGCTAGCGTCTATGAGTATCTGTAACGGTGAAGCGAGGTTTGTTGGATACTGGAATGATGAGTCTTCCCATGGAGCGTAAGACCCCTCCATGTTGAGGTTCCCAACACAGTAACCAGAAGTGGATGCAACGACAAAAGAGCCTCTTCCAGTTGCATGTGTGTCCCTGATTCTCCCTCCAGCACCTGTCTCAGCACCAGGATAAGGAGCCACCGCACAAGGGAAATTATGGGTCTCAGCAGTGAACAATATGTCGAGATCACGTGCACTGACATCAAGTAAGCAAGTAGAACCAGGAAGTAGAGGTCGTAGCTGGTTTACCATAAAGCCTCTTATAGCACTGGAGTTATCCTTAAACCCAATAACAGAGTTATTTCGATTTGCCTGCATATTTAAACAGATAAGATCAGAGTTTTATCATAAAATGAAAGAGAAGGTAGAGAAGCCATTTATTGTTACCTCCCAAGTGCTCTTTACAATCTGCATAAGAGACTTATCCATTGGCTTCCCATCAATAACAATGTTCCCAGCAAAGAACCAATGTCTACTGTGCTCACTGTTGGATTGAGCTATATCAAACAGCTCTACATTGGTGGGGTTACGCTTAATGTCATCTTTGAAAAGTCTAGTGTAATACTGCAAATCTTGCTCATCAAATGCTAAACCCATCTTCTGGTTGATTTCTTCCAGCGCCTCTCTACCTTTCTCCATCACAGGCACATACTTCACTTCCTCAGGAACCACATTTGTCTCAAATGAAACCAGTTTTTGGATGTACACACACTCAGTCATCCTGTCGTGAACCATTGCAGCAAATTCGTTGATTTGATTCTCCAAGAGTGGCTCATTGCTGAACAAGAGGTACCTCCTAGACCTTTCCAAGCGAGTAACCTCGTTTAAACCACAAGCTCTACATATCGAAACAGCATTGGTGGACCAAGCTGTTGTAAAAGACAATCTGGGACCAACTTCAACAATTGTAGCATGTAGCCCTTCCCTCTTCTTCCTCTCAAGAAAACTATCCTTACCTGAAAATCAACTCAAACATCAATAATAACAGACAGGCACAGCTATTATGTTACCATTGCAACAAAACACAGTAACAGTTACCAAGATTCTCAGGCTCAAATGTTTCTTGAAGAATCCACTTCAGAACAGACACCTTTTCCTCTCCTAACTCCGACTCAAGCCCAATGTTGAAACACTGCTCTGTCGTCAAACTAACAACCTGGTTGCTGATTTTGGTTTGAACCGCCTTGAGAAGCTCAGCGTTTGCGCTTTCTTGAATCAAAGGCACACGGTAGTAATGGATAACCTCTGCAGCAGGCTTCTCAACCAAGCTCGGTTGCTCAACAACAGAAAGAGATGCTCCAGGCTTAGAACATCTCAAGCCAGCAGCTTTTGTTCGGTTCAGAGACAGTAGACCCTGTGAGGTTTGGAATCTGACAGAGCCCCATAACTGACTTGTTGAGGTTCGTTGCAAAAGCGTCGTTTGTCTATTGGAACCCTGCAAGAGCCATTAAGCGAAAAGTAACAATTGAAAAATGGAATCTTTTAGTAAATAAAACACCACAGACGCTAATAGAGAGTAAGGACAGTGGAGATAGAGAATAAGAGAATAATTACGTTTAGAAACAGAGCAGCACGAGTTGCCTGGGAGGTACTCATCGCCAAGGATGAAGATGAACAACGAAGTACGCGAAATAGGGTTTTAGTCTCACTCCCACACGAGACAGAGAGCCTGTGACTGCGAGAGAACAACAGAGTTCGAGACACTGTCCTTTTATTTGTCTGTCTCAACGAGAGAGTCTTTAGGTTTTTTAGTGGTTTAACTATTTTTTATTTAACTTTCAGGAAGAAAACACAAACACTAATAAACAAAGAAAGAATCATTACTTTTACAGAGTGCGCAAGATAGGCCCACAATCTCTAATGGGCCTAAGGAACATTACATATCACAAGAAAAAAACAGTTTCATGGTTGCTAGACATTTACACATCTCAGATTTAGAGGTTTTCCTAAGAATAAGAGAACATTTTTCATCAACACATACATGGAGTCTTGAAAAATCCAACCATCAAACTAGAGGTGAAAATTCTATAAGTCTGAAGTTGTATAATATTTACGGTTTCGGTTTGTATCATACATTAGATTTGCCATAACCAAGAGCCAGAGAAGATGATATTTGATTCAGCTTCAACTTACTATGAGGTGAAAGAAAGATAGTAGAGATTCTATTATTGGGGATTAAAAACCAAATCCATGATATTTTAAAGTCGTTCAGATAATCACCAAAACACTTAAAACAAAGAAAGGAAAATGCTTCCAGTATCAAAATACAAAATAACGAACTAGTGGACAAAAACCACAGCTAAATCAATGTTTATGCTGTCTTCCTTTGCTTCAAATGTTGCTCGGATACATGAAGACTCTCACCCTCATTCCCTGAAAGAAAAGAAAGGAAAGAAAATGTTAACCCTAGTGACCCAAGTAGAAGAAATTAACATCTATACAAAGGTAATAAATTTGATGTTTATAGGATCTGTTTAAGTACCATGGACTTGGGAGGTAAGTTGGATGTGAATTTGGCACGGACAACACCGCTGTTACCATGAGGCCTTGTAACCTTTCCCCAGATGCAACGGTAGTGGCTACCGTTCTTCTTGGTCTTAGCCTTGTAGATGTAAGCCATCCTCTTTCCCTTGTACCATGTCACCTCCTCTGTAGTGTTGACTCCTTCGATCTGGATAAGGGATGTGTTTGGGTACTGGTTGGACTTGGACCTGTACAACAAGGAAAATGTCAGAGACCAAGGGAAGTACCAAATAGTTTTAACATTGACAGAAATCAGTTACAAGTGTAGATTAATGGTAAGCTAGCAAGATGTTCTAATGCAGACAACAAACTACATAGACATATACTCAAAAGTACATGCGTAGATTCTATAACCAACATAAAGTTTTGAACTTTACAGGTAATAAGAACAGAGTCTGATATTATAAGTTGAGAATGAGATCCTAGCAGCTTCAGTTACATAAAACTACTCATCATGATTCATTAATAACGGAGCTAAATCAAGAACTAGTAAACAGTATACAATGAACGACATAGAGATTAAAGTAAAAAAGAGTCACCTTTTGTATCCCAAGATGGTTCCCCTAACGTAGAGTCTGCAAACATTCATAAGATAAACAAAATAATTCAGATTCAAATCAAAAACATAACTTTGCAAAAGTCGCAACATTGAGCAAAAATGTTCCTTCACAAACGATAAGACAATCACGATCCAAAAGCAGCTTTGCAAAACTAGTGTTAGGGATCAAATAAGAGGCACACCTTACACGTTCTCCTTGGCGTCCCTTCACCATTTTTGCGTCGGCTGATAAACGCACAAGACAGATGATGCTACTGAGAGGAAGGCGGAGAAGCAAAAACCCTAATACATAAGCACGAAATTATATAGTGTTGCCCTAGACATGATTGTTAATGGGCCTATGGGCTTCAAAATTTGATCCATTAATAGATTTCAACAAACGTAAATGTGTTCTCCAGTTTTCCATCTTTAAATTTGATTAATAATGGCCCAATGGGCTTTAAAACGCGGCCTATTAATAGATTCAAACGAATTAAATCGGATTCCTTCCTCTTTTATGTTGTCGTTGACTTTTAGTTCCTACTTCACTGTCTGAAGCCGCAAAGTGTCTCTCCATCTCCGATCATCTCTCCCGCATCTGCAATGCCGACGGGTCCCTCGAGCAATTCGCCTCGGAACAGTCTTCTTCAGCATTCAGTTATGGTCATCCTCGTCGGATTAACCGCGGCGTTGACTTATCGGACGATGTTAAAACCTCCTTCACCGAAACTATGCGGCTCGCCCCGAGGTCCACCGATCACAGCTCCGCGGATAAAGCTCCGAGACGGGAGGTACTTAGCTTACAAAGAGCATGGAGTTCCAAGAGATGAAGCTCGCCGCAAAGTCATCTTTATTCATGGATCCGATTGTTGTCGTCACGACGCCGTTTACGCCACTCGTCTCTCTCCGGTACTCTCTGAACTTACTGTTTAGGGTTTATAATCAGTTTCTAGAAAGGTAGTGTTGATATTGATTTCTGTAAATTTATGGTTTTTATCAATTTCTAGAAAATTAGGGTTTATATCAATTTCTAGAAAGTTAAGGTTTATATCAGAATTTGGGTTCTTTCAGTTTTTAGAAAATTAAGGTTTATATCAATTTATGGAAATTAGGGTTTATATCAAATTCTGGAAAATTAAGGTTTATATCAATTTCTGGAATGGATTTTATCAATTTCTGTAAATTTATGGTTTTTATCCATTTCTCGAAAATTAGGATTTATATAAATTTTTGGAAGTTAGGGTTATATCATTTCTTTGATGAATTTCATTTTCTAGGGTTTAATTGAGGAGCTTGGCATGTATTTGGTTTCGTTTGACCGACCCGGTTACGGAGAGAGCGACCCGGATCCGAACCGTACCCCAAAGAGCTTGGCTTTAGACGTTGAGGAGCTTGCTGACCAGTTGAATCTTGGAGCCAAGTTCTACGTGATAGGCTACTCAATGGGAGGACAAGCAACATGGGGATGTCTCAAATACATCCCTCACCGGTTAGCCGGAGCAACGCTCGTTACTCCAGTGGTTAACTACTGGTGGAAGAACTTACCTTCGAATGTTTCCACTCAAGGCTACAGCTTGCAACCAAAGAGAGACCAATGGGCGGTTCGTGTTGCTCACTATGCTCCTTGGCTTATCCACTGGTGGAACACGCAGAAGTTGTTCCCTGGTTCGAGTGTTGCGAACCGAGATGGTGCTAGCTTCTCACAGCCGGATAAAGATATCGTTTCGAAGCTTGGTTCTTCGAGGAAACCGCATTTGGCTGAAGTGAGGGCACAAGGGTTGCATGAGACTATTAACCGTGATATGATTGTTGGGTTTGGGAGTTGGGAGTTTGATCCTATCGAACTTGATGACCCGTTTTTGAACGATCCTCATGGCTCTGTTCATTTGTGGCAAGGGGATGATGACATGTTAGTGCCTGTGATGCCGCAACGTTATATTGCTGAGAGGCTTCCTTGGATTCACTATCATGAGGTTCCGGGGAGTGGCCATTTCTTTCATTACAATGAAGGTGTGGTTGATAACATTGTAAAGACGCTCTTTAAAACAGGAGCTGAGAGTGAATGAAATATCCAGTTGTCTGAAAATGAATGTTTGTAGTTTGGTGTATTTCTGGGACAGCATAATAAAAGTTGATTGTTTATAGTTCTACACTTTTCTGTTACTTCCCAAAAATATAAAGTTTTTGGAGCATCGTTTGTTATTGGACCTTCTAAAAATATAAGTAACAAAAAGGAAAACTTCCATAAATACAAGGACTTAAAATGCAATTTTCAGAACCTTTAATGATATTTATACGTTATTTACAAAAAAAGTCCTTAAATTTCCTCAGATATTTTTTTGTACACGGATCTTGCATTGATCTTGATCCCTGATCCTATCCTCTGCTCTTCCTCGTTGTGCGCACCGTCCTCCCTCTCTCTCTCTCTGTGATCATAACCACCTCTTCTTCAATTCTCCTCTCAGATCACTCTTCCTTCCTCCTACAACGTAAGCTTCTCCTTCACTTTGTGTTGTGTAATGATAGATCTTCCAACGATATAAACTAAGTGTAATAATGGATTTTGATTATTCTCATTCAAATTGTAGAAATGTAACGTTGATGTATCGTACAGTTTTAGATTCAAAGTTAGAAACTTTACGAAATTTTTTAGATTTAAAAACAGAAACTTTACAAAAACAGAGCATGTTGTTGCATGTGGCTCTGTTCTGATCCCTCAGAGTAGCTAAAGATCGAGTCTTTTGTGTGATCTAGATACAACAATGGGTGCTAATGAAACGAATGTAGAGAGCAAAGAGTATCGTCTCTCACGAGAAGTGAAGGAAGCTCTTCAAGCGATAGCATCTGAGTGGGAAGATGTGATTGATTCAAAGGCTCTGCAAGTGATTCCTTTGAAAGGTGCAATGACCAATGAGGTGTTTCAGATCAAGTGGCCCACTAGGGAGAGTGGGCCTTCTCGTAAGGTTCTCGTTAGGATTTACGGTGAAGGTGTTGGGATTTTCTTTGACCGTGAGGATGAGATCAGGACGTTTGAGTTTATGTCTAAGCATGGTCATGGGCCTTTGTTGTTGGCAAGGTTTGGTAATGGTCGTATCGAAGAGTTCCTTAATGCACGGGTAAGTTGGTAAATATCTTTTCACTTGACCCATGTTCTTGAGAACTGAAGGTGTAACTTTTTTTTGTGTGTTTTCAGACACTATCTGCTTGTGATTTGCGTGATCCGGTGATATCTGGTCGGATAGCGAATAGGATGAAGGAGTTTCATGGTCTTGACATGCCTGGTGTGAAGAAGGCTTTGCTTTGGGATAGGTTAAGGTATGTTTTTCTGTGCTAGGTTCTACTTTGAGTTTCTGATGTGTAGTTGATTTTTGGGTGTTTGTGAGTGCAGAAACTGGCTGGTTGCTTGCAAGAGATTGGCTTCTCCGGAAGAAGCTAAGTCCTTTCGTCTCGAAGTTATGGAGATGGAGATTAATTTGCTTGAGAAGTCTCTCTTTAAGAATGATGAAAAGATTGGGTTTTGCCACAATGATTTACAGTATGGGAACATAATGATGGATGAACAAACCAAAGCAATAACCATCATTGTGAGGTTTCATTATTTGTTTATTTAGATATCTTGATCTTCTTTGGTGTGGCATTAGTTGAATGTGGATCCTAACTCATCTTACAAAAAAAAAAACAGGATTATGAATATTCTTGCTACAACCCTGTGGCTTATGACATAGCCAATCACTTCTGCGAGATGGCTGCTGATTACCACACTGACACACCTCACATCATGGATTACAGTAAATACCCTGGTAAGTGATTTGTACTTGTAATCTTTTGTAATGATATAGGATCTATCATGTGTACTATTAATATGTGAGTTAAAATATATAGGTGTGGAGGAGCGTAAACGATTTCTGAAAACATATATGAGCCCTTCAGGTGATTACTTTATCACACTCTCTTGTCTGTCTGTGAGCTTCAGAATCCTCAATTGTATTTGTTCTATTGAACTCTTTCAGGTGAAGAAAAGCCCAGCGATACAGTGGTCAAAAAACTCCTTGAAGATGTTGAGAAATATACACTTGCTAGTCATCTAACTTGGGGTTTATGGGGAATCATATCGGTATTCTCTACAGTCACCTTCTATCATATACCTGCAAGTTGTGTACTACTATGTGTGGCTTTGATCTTGATTTTTGTAAAACTGTGTAGGAACATGTGAATGAAATCGACTTCAACTACATGGAGTACGCAAGACAGAGGTTTAACCAGTACTGGTTAACAAAGCCGAAGCTCATTGGTGCTCCTTGAAGGTTTTAAACAGTAGTAATTATGATTCTATGGACGCAATTCAAGTAGTAGTTCTTTTTTTACGGTGGTAAGGAGGTATACGTAAGATTATCTACCAGCTTAGAACAATAAAAAATGAAACGTTCTGTTTCATTTTCTTACTAGAAGAAGTCAAAAATGTAAGTCTCGAGTACAATTTAATTTGTTTAAGATGAAAGTTTCTCATCTCCTTATACAACTGGATTCAAAATAAAGCACAGAGCTGTTTACTGTGTATATGTATGCCTATAGATAGTGATTATGCTATAATCTAGTAACTGAGCTCTATACATAGATACCTCTGAATCATACAATTGAATGGCCTCTCAAAAGCTGTAAGCTTATACTTTAAAAAATAATTCACAACAACAACAAATATGCTTCATGGCCGTTTCTTTATCTTGCTTGACAATCATAAGTCTTGTAGTGCCATAGAAGTTTACAATCATTTCACTTCCCCTGTTTCTTATCTGCAAGTTCAAAAAACCAACACACTTATTTTTGCTATGTCTCAAAAGAACATGGAAGTCTGGATCCAGAAGCATTAGACAAGTTACAATCAATTGAGGAACTAACAATATTTTGTTACAAAAAAGCTGCAAAAAGTTTTAATTGTAAAAGAGAAGAACCGAGACACAATAAAGGATAGTTAGTTAAAGCTATCTTTACCTTTACCTTTCTGGAACCACGGTCTTCGAACTAGCTTGTTGATGCGGCGCTCGTGCCGTTCCACTAGTTCATCAACTCCATTTGACTGAGACAACAAAGGGCCCGAGAATTCGATCTTGTCCCCATCATCACCCTGTCAAAAGCTTGAGTTATCAGCATCATTGAGCATGCTTTTCTATGAACTCAAAAAGAAGGCAAACCACATCATGCCTACTTTTTTCTCTCTCTCCCCTCTGAACTTTATAGGTAAAAGCGTGGAGAGAAAAAGAACAAAAGAATACTTAAACAGCTGAGCACACATGATTTCAATACAACGGTCTAAACTGGTCCTTCCTTTCTACGTTTCTTAGCTGCGTATCTCATTTACACAATTTCATATACATATGTATATAAGAATTCATAATCACCAAAATATATATATAAACTGGTTACAGCAGTAGTTGAATCATATCTTTAGAATCACTAAAATTCATTTCTAATATACACCGAATGGGTTTTGACACTGGGTATTACAGCAATCATAACAATGAAGCCAAGTTCTTTGTTTCACTTGAAAGAACATCTGGCACAGAGCACGCTTGTATGTCTATCAAAAGCACTAAATGGCCATGGGAACAATGCAAACAACGAAAAATTCTATAAGGAGTTTAAGATATATCAAAGAAACTACAAGGGTACTCTTAGAGCTTCTATAATCTATGGACGTACCAATTTATTACCCATCTTTGTTGCCATTTTATCTCTCTGTCCCAGTGACAGTTCTTGTGAGTGATACTCGTCAGATGCACCAAAATGATCTGGACGTTCAAGTTGTCTCCACTGCTTCAGCATTGAACGCTTCACCATCTCATATGAGTCCTGGCCTCGAGAATCTGTCTTGTCTTCATCAGTTCTACCCTCATTTCTCTTAGATTCGACGGGAGAAGGTCTTCTAGAAGTATTAGGAACGTAACCTCTTGAAACAGATAGATTATGTACCCTAACAGATGCATCATCTTTTTCTCGTTTCGCCCAAGCAAAACTGCTTGACTTAGAAACTTGTAAGGGCCCTGAGAAAGGTACATCACGTTGGGATGCACTTTTCACATAAGAAGCCTCGTCTCTTTTGTGATCTAACGGGACCGTTTGCAGCTTCCCACATAATTTGGTATCAGTTTCAATCGAAATAGGAACTAATTGACCAATCCTTTCCTGCAAACACGCAAAAAAAGGACAGCACATATGAGTTTCTTGCACGAGGAACATACTTTCAAGATGCAAATAACAGGTAGACAAGAGAGTAAGTAGACACTACCTCAGCTGGTGCCAATTTATTGAATGAAAGAGTCTTCCGTGATGACTTCCTCACTTCTACACCACGTCTTCCAGTCCCGCTAATTTTTTTCCTGAAAATCAGACATGAAGTACGAGGATGTTACAAATGCTTCCAAGACCCTAGCGTGTAAAGCCAACCAAAATGGTGGACTGGTGATTTTTTATCAGATAGTTAAAGAAAATTTTAACCTTGTTGCTTCTCCCCGATGCTTTGTATCTATCTCCTTGCTAGGCGGATACACTGGCAAGCTTGAGGGATCACAAGCAAAAGGCTCTGTAGTAAAATACTGGAAAGACAAAAAAGAAAACGCAATGTCTTCATTAGTAAACGACGAGCAATGTATTAGTGTTTAACTTGGTATAAAAATAAAAGAATTACCTCAGAAGCAAGGGCACTGGAGGCAGTACCGCGTTTTAGGGGATCTATAGAAAGAAGAGTTTCGATCAGATTGAATTCAATCTCAGACAAATCTTTCAAGGTTTCCCGGAGACAACTGTCATAGTTTTGCTGTGGCTTGAAAAGCATTGCATGAGGAAGTTTGGATTTTTTCCAGTAATCTGCTGGTGGAGATCCACACAATTTGAATATCTTGTGGAGCTGTTCAACCTGTTCCATACAATTTTAAGTTCTTTTTTTTCACCAATCCATGACCAAGAGGTCCAATATCATAAATACCAGATCAAAAAGGAGACAATGCTATGTGGTCTTACCTCAGTTCTTCCCCGGAGAATAGGTTTCCCAAGAAGCAACTCAGCGAAAACACAACCAACACTCCACATATCAACAGCTGATCCATAGTCCGTTGCCCCTAGCAAAAGTTCAGGTGGACGATACCACAGAGTGACAACTCGACTTGTAAGAGGCTTCTTCTTGTGCCCAGAAGAATTACTGAAGTTGGCTAACCCAAAATCAGCCACCTTTAGTACTCCTTCATTACTCAACAAAAGATTCGAACCCTTTATGTCCCGATGCATCACACCTCGAGAATGACAATGTTCGAGCCCAGACAAAAGCTGCTTCATATAGCACTTAATCTGCGTATACAACCAAACACATAAGAAAACTCGCACCAAACACTATGGATGATGATTATTCCAATATAAAACGAACCTGCGGCGTAGTGAATTTGATGTCAGGGGAAGCAAGAAGACCAGTGAGATCATGCTCCATATACTCAAACACGAGTTGTATGGTGCAAGATAGTTTGGAAGTAATCAAACCTTCCAGTTTAATAACGTTGGGATGATTGAGTTTTCTAAGTATCAAAATCTCTCTTGCCATAAACTTAACACTCTCTGGCTCGAAATTGTCGAACCTCACCTTCTTCAGTGCTACAATCCTCCCAGTTTCAGTCTCTACTGCACGGAACACGCTACTATAAGTACCTTGTCCAATCTACAAAAAAAAAAAAAACTAAACTCCGTTAGTTTCACTACTTACCTTCTTCAACCAAACAACATTTCAATAATAATTATAACAAATATTCTAAAATCAGTCTAGAGAGGCGGCAAATCAGTCATAGGAAACAATTTTTAAAAATTCCGATTTATGCGAGTCAAATTGGTTAAAACTGATTTAAATTGATTTGAATTAGTCTAAATTCATTAAATTAAACATAGTGTTAGTACAATTCCATAAAATTTGTTTAATTTCTTTTGTTTGTAGATATAACTTTTATAATTCATCAAAATAAATTTATAGTTAAGTCTAATAACTAAAATATCTAATATAAATGTAAAGTACAATTAAATCTCTATAAATTAATAATATTGCTATTACACCAAAACAATATTTTTTTATTAATTTATAGAAATTATTAATTTATGGATATACTAATTGAATCAAAAATTTAGTGTATATTAGTTTATAGAATATTAATTTAAAAAAAATTATACTGTATATAAATATACCAATAATTCGTTGGACGCCCGAATAATCCACTTCCTCTACAAAACCGGCTAATTACTGGATTTTTCAAAGATTGATAATAACCTTAAATAAACAGATCCCTTCCACCCTCGAACCTACGACCTCTTACACATAATCTAAACTTTTAGCCGCTAGGCCAAGCACAAACCTTCTCAAGCTTTTCGAAAGCATCAGATCGAAGTGGGACCCAACCATGGATAGCTTCACCAGCAACATTACTCAGCCACGCAGGCCAACCCGCAGCGACCTGCTCGGCCTCAATGTATTTGCTAATACTCCCGAGACGAAAACTCAGCGAGTCGCTAGCACGTCCCGAGTCATCCAACTCGCTCCTGCTCCCAACCTCACTCCTCCTCTGGCTCCTCCTCTTCCAGCTCCTACTCCTCCACGACGCCAGCTTCTTCAGAATCGGACGAGGCGGATCATCCTCGACCCGACCCGATCCGGAACACTCATTCTTATTCTCCTTGAATGCTCCTGAGTGATGATGATGATCGATCGCTGGCGTCACGGACACCGTTTGCTTCGAGTTAACGCAACCCATACAGAATTACGATCAATGATCCGACGTCGTAATTGGATCCGGTTCGAGTGAATCTCTGAGAGTTTGGTATTTTTATAATGAGAGGAGGGAGAAGAGAGAATGTTTTTGACGTATTACGGAAGATGACAGTAGGTTTAAAAAAAAAAAACAATTTAGGATTTAAAATAGAGAAAGAAAACATGCATTTATTATTTTTATTTTCTGGTCCAATAAAACGAATCTACACCTTCCAATTCTGAGTTCCTATTTTAGCAATACAGTTAATGACAGCTTTTGGTTCAAATGAATAGTAGACTACACAAATGTGGAAGAGAATATTATACATGGAGTCACTTTAAAAACCTACTAAATAAAAGTCATAGTTAAAACTATTTAATTTAGTAACTTTGACAAATTAACCTAAATATATTCATACATTGATTTTGGAATAGATGTAAATATGATTAATATCAAAATAAAAGATTATGAAAAGATTTCTATCCGAAATCTTACAGATTTTGTGTGTGTTTTGAGTTTTAATTTTGAAATGAAATAACCTATCCTAAATCTTTTAAAATTTATCATATTCTTTTTATATATAAAAATAAACTACAATTATTTCATGAATAATCTTACGTATTTTTGTGGTGATAGTAAAAAGACGAGACTTAATATAATATATATTAAAGCAGAAAATATATCATTAACTAATTTAATTTAGTCATATATCAGTCTTTGTAAGAGTTTTCAGACAAAAATTATGATAAAATAAGAATTTATAAATGTTTTGAATTAAAATTTTAAATATGATGTTAAATTTAAATTTAAAAACCAATGTATAATATATGAATAGTTAAATAATAAAATTTTCACTAAAATAAAAGTTTTAAATTGATTTTATATACAAAAACTGAAATTTATATAAAACATATGATTTTCTAACTTGTTTTTTATTTTACATATTATTTAAAATATTAATATATTGTGTGGTTTCAAGTCTAATTATTTTTTAAAAATGAAATATTATTAAATTGCGTGGAAAATAAAGAGAGAAAAATAAATATTGGATGTATGCATTGATTTTTGGTTGAATGAATAGTAGACTCCACAAATGTGGAAGAATATTATTTAAAAATAAATTTTATTAAACAGTGGATATTAATATATTGCCTGTTTGATTGGTTGAAATGAATAGTAGACTACACGTATGTGGTTAAAATGAAATATTATTAAACGGTGTGGAAAATAAAATAGAAATAGAAACGAAATTATTGGCTTGTATGTATTAATGTTTTGTCTATGGTCAGTACACGCGAATGGCTATTATTGATTTATCAAGTGTACGAAGGTGTCTTGAAATGATAAATGTCCATAAGCACTAAGTAGCATATGACTAATAAGATTTACAAAGCTATAAACTATGATTAAGTTTCCATAAGATAAGTCAAAACAAATTCATTACAGAGACATATAATAATTGCAAAGAGAACCACACTTGTGTCTCTAATGCTTTGCCAGCTCTTAGACTATGATGACTACTACTATTTATGATAATTTCTTTTTTCTCCAAATTCAAATTATGGATTTATATTTTGAATAACGTCCACATGAGAACTTTTATTTAGCAGTTTTATTTTTCTATCAATTTTATACCTAATATATAAAAAACGAAACAGATGGAATCTAATCCAAAAGAAAAGTCGGCAACTACCAACTGCAAAATGGAAAATAAAATCAAACGACCAAAAAACAGAGAAACACAGTAGTCACATCTAATTCAAAATCGATATGATTCAAAAGAAACCAAACTCGAATCCAAATCATTAGCTTATGTAAACAGGTATGTAGTTGAGTTCTTGGTGAGAACAAAGTCCATCATAGCATACTATTATTAATGATGATCAGACTAATCAGAGAATATATTCGCAGATATCCCCCAAAATAAAACTTTATTCGTAAGTGTTCAACTTTATGACATAATAGTCTCATACGGTTCAACTACACCATTTAAAGTTGAGGCAGGCGGAGGCCTAAACCTCTGAAAAGACCAAAAGATCCAAGCACAAGAGCTGAATGAACCAAGAAGGAAATCAAGCCTTCTTCTTTTTAGATTTGAGCATGACCATGCCAATGAACACGCAAAGAAGAGAGAGGAGAGTTACGCCAGCGAAGACAGGTACGAGAATCGCATAGTCTTGAGGCAAGAAGTACTTGTGGATGAAGTGGTCACTATCTACAAATGGCTGTTGCAAAGGAATGTTTTAACACGTGAGCTTCTTCCTCGTAATATCCAAAACATTGTCCTTTATAAGCACTTGGACAATGAAATTGTCACTTACCAGGATGATGACCCAGAACGTATAGTAGGTGAATATGGATAAGCTGATTGAAGATAATAGAAGCCCCACTGCACGATCCGCTAGCTCCATTTGTTACGTTCAATACCTGCACCACAGAGAAAACAAAATCAGAAAGATTCAAGAAGCATAAGCCTTAGAAAAAAAAACAGTCAAAAATGACGAAAACTGTCAACGCCGTGGAAATCATTTCACCTAGAATTTACCATAAGCACAGCTAATGCCACGGTTCTAGACTCTCAGGGGGTGCAAACTATGCTACTGTACACAGCCGAACGATAATAACCGGGTCTTAGACTTTTCTAGATATCACATACACGGAGCTGAACAAACATCTCTAAAACGAATCAGAGTTGACCTAGGAAGATATCAGCAACTTGCAGAACTCGGGTAGTGAAGAGGAAGTAATCATCTCCAGGCTCCAAAATCAATGGCTTGAAGTGATATTTGACCTACGTACAGATCTTTGAGGTGTTGCTTACACAGCCCTATTCTCCTTCCATTTAAGCTAGAAGGAATGCAAACAGAAAAGCCAGTTCTCCAACCAGGAAACTTCTGTCTTTCCATTGCATGCAGGGTATAAACAGCAGGTGCCGCCATAGAGCAACCAGCTACAAAGCAATTGCAAGGCCTTGATTCGCTCACTATTCGAGTTAAAGACAACAAACATAAACCACTATTGGAAATGCCGTACGTTAGATGTTCATCCTTGTCAAAAGCTGGAGAATCTAGTTTCTCATGTTGTATTTCCTCTTCTATATCTTCAGCAGAGGGTATCGTGCTCAGTTCTTCATCAAGGCGTTTCTCTATTTCATTTTCATGTATTCGATATTTTGATGCCAAAGTCCGGATGCATGACTTTCTGACCTGATTGTCGATAAGAGCCTTTATCTCATCAAAATTACTACAGCCTCCATACCATATCACCCATCGCCGGACAAGTCCTGAGAACCAATCAATTATTTGGGCAGTATCTTGTAATATAAGCATAGAGTTCGTACGAGCATAACCCGCAGCAGTTACTAATCCATAGCGAGAAAGACGCCTTCTTATAGCATTGGTAGGAGCAACAACATCACCAAAGAAAACAGGTCCATCATGAGAGCTTGGACATGGCAAAAGCGCTTCTACTTTAGCTGTCTCTGAAGAAACATATGCCGTAGCACAATTTTGGAACTTGTAAAACGCATCTCTAAGTTCTTTAGGGATTGCAGGTTCAACAATATGCTTGGACAAGATAAACTCCTCGCTTCTATCAGCAGAGGTTCTCAGCACGTCCTCCATCCATATTCTAAGCAAGACCTTATACCAATGATCTGTTTCCATGCCTGCCTTTCTGTGGCAAGATATTTGGCTCAAGGTGGAGTTACTATCCGCCAAGCCTCTGATCTCTGACTCCTTGACCTTCTTCAATCCATGTCCTAACCATTTCTTTCCAATTCTAACTGTTCCCAAGGTCCAGGCCTCTTCTTTCTGCAATGCAAAGAGCCTAACCTTCTCCTTTAGCTTGTGAACAGCTTTGACAGCGGGACTCTCCCTAACATTTTTCCTCACCAAGGTACCCAAAACACGCAGCCCACTGGTCGTTTCACATGGCGACGGGTCTGTTTCATCTGTGATGTCCAAATGCAGTGAGTTTCGTAAGAAATCTAAAGCTTCAGATCTGATATCAACCGCAACTTTCTTGGGTCCAGTCACAGAAAAAAATATATCATCCATAAATCTGCAACAATAAACTCTGACAGCATTCTCCTTCACCTGCGGACTTTTCAAATCTTGCTCTCCGGCCTGCCTCCTGAACCAGGACCGAAGTTTTGAACCTAGACCACCTTCATCAGTCTTTGAATCACGATCCAGAGCCTCATGCCTCATTGAGATCCTATAAAACTCCTGATCAAACCGATCAAGATAAATGTTCATCAACACACGAGACAACACCCCTTCTTGTGGAAGACCATGTCCCTTAGGAAACCCTCCAAACTCAAGATTAAGCACCCGGGCTTCAAACATAGAACGCAGTAAGACACTCAAGCTACTATCTTCCACTCTTTCCTCCATCACAGAGAGCAAGCTCTCCAAAACACAATCATCCACCTTTTTACACAAGCTCAAAGTGAAACACCAATCAGAACGAGACATACTATTGCTAATATACTTCAACGCAGATCCACGTCCCCTTCCACTTCGGCAACTATGCGAGATCTTCGAAAAATAAGGACCGAAAACAACTTCCAACACTATTCTAATAGCTTCTTGAACAACTTTCAAAGCTACACTAGGCAAGACAAGAACCTCCTTCGTTTTATCTCTAGCCACAAGCGAGAACGTATTGGAAGCAACATCAAACACACCACTAGATAACTCTTCCGCCATACAATCAAACTCAAACGCAGCATTGCCATCTGTTATGGAAACATTGGAGTTAAGTCTTATGCAGTCATAAGCGTCACGTAGAGTCTCAGGCCTAGCAATCACTTTCTTCAATAAGTTAGTAAACTTCCCGTTAATGTATTGCTCTTTGACTCTTTTCTTTAAACGAAGCTCGAGAGATCGTTTTAGCTCCATACGGCTTTTTGATTTGGTATCATCAACGTGAGCGGGAGATTCCTCTACAAGTGATGCTAATTCCCCAGCTAGTGAGAATATTCCAGTTTGATTCCTATTCGAGTGTGTGGATACTGCGCGACTCCATAGCCGCCGCGAAATTAGGGTTTCTAGGTTATTGAGATTGACTCGACGCATCGATTGCAAAACTAGGTTTCGTTTCCTAAACATTGATTCCGATTCCGAATCTAAAACTATGCGATTTTATACCAGACTAAACCGGAACAATCAGGTTTAACAATCACACGGTTTAATTCGAGATGGAGATGGAAGGAAACTTACGTTTAGAGAGGAAAAGCAACGACGAGACAGAGAGGAAGCGGCGGCGCACGGCGAAACAATCGAGATGGGGAAGAGGAGTATTGTGGGAAGAGTGAGGAAAGGAAAGGACTATTTGTTAAATAACGGATAATATTTTGTTTCATTTTACAGTATTACATTATGACTCCTTTAATTGCAGAATGTTCCTTGTTTTGGAGATGTGTTTTCGAATTTACATTAATGACCATCTTGCTCTTATGATTTGCCATCAATTACTCATTTCCGTATTAAAAAAAAAATTGTAGTTTGGCAACAAAAAAAGAGTTTTAAAAAATATATGATATGTAGACGTGAAATATAGTGATGTATGTGAGTGATTTAGACATTTAGTATAACATTTGAGACAATTTTCATTTATCATGAACCACAATTATAAAATATAATTCTATTTTGATTCTCAATTAAAAAGACTGATCATGTGTACAAGATTCGCCATCATCTAACTTGTTGGATTGTTTATCAATTCCCCCCCCCCCTGTCAACTGACAATTTCTACTATACAGATGCTTTGGTTATATCCCCCACCACACAAGAAAATCTAAGATTATATAAACATATATACCTATATATATTCGTACAATTTTATTTCGGCATATACGCTTCTAATTCCATATAACTTAGCACTTGCACGATTTTCATTACCACTAAAAATGTAGTATAGGTGTAAATTTTTTACATTGACTAAATAATAATTTTTTTATTCATTTTGATCATTAATTAAAAAGACAAGTTCTGCTTGTTCACCTGTCAACAGTGTACAAGATTCGCCATCTTCTACTTATTCGGTTGTTTATCAATTTCCCACTGTCAACTGACAATTTCTACTATAAATGTTTTGCTTCATGCATGCTTTGTTTGTAATAAGAAAATAAACGATGCTTCATGCTTTACTTATATTCCACAAAACATACATGACTAAATACATATATCTTCATGCTTTTCTATATGTATAAAAGAGTCTGACTAAACCGGGTGAATATTCTAGTTGGGTCCAAGCCATATGACATAAGCGATAATGATATTGTTGAATTTGACCAATGGAAACAGCAAATGGGTACGCAGGGAAAAAACCTGAACGCACAAAGCGACGTCGCTTTCGAAGTGGCACTTCTTTTAGATCCTCTACCAATCTTTGTTTTGGCATGAACAATGTTGGCGCATTACCATTCACACCTCGTTAGTGTTTTTTGTGGACCAATTTTTTATCCGGAATTTTCCTTGTTTTTTTCCCTTACAACTGGTGGAAATCCCAAACTTTAAAATTGGTACCACTTTGAAATATTTTTCAGAATTTATAACATTTTCTTTAAAGAGTCTAACAACTTGCACATTTGAAAGAGTAATAAACGGTTTTGAAAAATATGTGACCCACTGACCGTTTAAAATGATGCATTACCCTATCTAGTATGATTAGTCATGAAAAACATTATTATTGTTCTTGATATTTTGGATGATCCAAGTTAAGCATTGTGCTGGAGATCTAGGATACAAATATCAGTTTAAACCAGTCGACTAATGCAGTAGATTCTAAAGTACATGTGATTATTATTACAGTTGTAGATATGGTCATTACAATAATCATATTGCTTTTTCTTTGTGGAAGAGAATAGTAGCCTCTGAATTTTCTAATTCAAATATTTTTTTTCAATGGTCTGTCACGAAGTGTGTTTATACTATTCAATTAATTGAGTACTTAAGACTAATCAATGTAAAATAATACACGTGTTTGACTGGTCACGGGGAAAATTAAGTATTTTCTATATCAACAGTACAGACAAATAAAAGGAATAAAATATGAGATTTGATCATTAATAATGCTAAAAAAACATTGGTCAAATGACTAACTAAGTCAACGAGTGCCGTCCAGATGAATTACAGGAGGCCCACCATATACTCGTAGGCTCCGAATGTCGTGCAGTACAAAAGCAGAAGAAAAGAACATGCAGACCCCTCTGCATTTAATGAGCCATTCACATTTAAAAACACAGATCAAAATAAAATAATAAAATATGAAATTATCTGCATGCAGGAGAGAGTGTGTGACAAAAGCTGTACTGCATATTTCGGGGAAAAAATGAGTGGTCCAGATGCAGA